ACAGCGCCGCAAAGGACCGCGCCAGCTGGGCCGCGTGGTCGCGCAGCTCGCGCGCCGCGTCGCGCGCCCACGACAGGTCCTTCTGCATGGTGATGCCGACGACCTCGACCAGGTGTATGTGCAGGTCCGTGGCCATGTCGGCGTCAGCGTGGTCCAGCGTCAGCCGCATCTCGGCGGCCAGCCGCCAGAGGTCGTCGAGCGAGATCTGGGCCAGCGTGGCCGCGGCGCGGGAGGCAGCGGCTGCTCGCGGCGGCCCCCCGTCGGGACCGACGCCCCCTTCTAGACCCGTGAGGTACCGCAGCACCAGCTCGTCCGTCGACAGCGCGTACTTGCGCGCAAAGTCGCGGTCGCGCGCGTACCACTTTGCGTGCTTGTACCTGTTGCGGTGCGCCTCTCGGTAGTCGTCTTCGGCAAAGCTGCTTTCGCTGTGATGCGAGGTTACGGATTTGTTGTCATCGTAGTTTTCGGCGTCGTCGCCGCCCGGGCCACCCTCTTCCATGGCCACAACAACGGGGCCGGTCTTATCTCCGGCCGGCTGGGACGGTCTTTGTGCCGCCTTCTTCTTTGCCTCTTTCTCCAGCGCCTTCCTTCTTTCTCTTTTCTGCACACGCGCCCGCCTCGCCGCATCCCGCTCGGCCTTGCGCTCGTCCTTTGTTAGGGGTAAAGGCGGGGGATCGAGATAGGTCTCGTTGGGATCTGCCACGCGCCACGCCTCCTCGTCCGTGTAGGTCTCCATCTCCATCGGCCGGGGCATGAAGGTGAGCGACGGCGTGAGCTCGTTAGTCTTGATGTTGCGCATCGCCCGTGGAGGGTCGAGCAACACCAGGACCGTCTGCCTGCCCTCGGCATCGGCACCAGACCAGATGCTGGCGCCTTCGGGGGCCATGACGCGCAAGTCACGGTTCAGCCATTGCTTGCGGCTTCTCGGAAGACTGCTGAAAGTGCTGTACGGCCTGTAGACGTTGGATGCCTTGACACGGGCTGAGCCCTCCTTCCCGCCGGCGTCCAGCTCGGGCGGCTCGCTGGGCCCGCCAAAGGGGCCCAAGAACTCGTCGCCCGCCGACTTGGACTTGCCGCCGTGAGCCGACAGGGCGACGGCCCGGTCCCTGAGCGTGGGCCTCATGGTGAGGCCGAACTTGTCGAGCGCCACGTCGCGCTCCATGACCAGGCGCCCGTCGCCGCCGATGCGCATCTCGATCTCCTGCTCGTGGAAGCCCTCGCGGCCGAGGTAGTTGAGCAGCCCCAGCCGGCCCCAGCGCATGTGTGCCCAGCTGGCCGCGGGGAGCTGCCGCTGCCGCTGGAGGTCGCGGCGCCGGCGCCGGCGCTCGACGTTCCACTCCGTCGGCTGGCCGGGCCCCGGGAGGGCGCGGTGGCGGAAGCGGGTCTCGCGCTGGGCCCAGTTCATCCAGACGCCGTTCTTGACCTTGAGGTTGGCGTCGCTGGCGCGATATCCCGAGTTGACCAGGTGCTCGAACCAGAACTCTGGGTCGACCTCGAACAGCTGGCCTAGCGCACCCATGAGGAAGCGGCTTAGGTCCGTTACCACCACCACGCGCAGCGTGCTGTCCGGGGGCCGGGCATTCAGTGCCGCGGCAAGGCGGCGCCTTTCGCTGCTGCTCCCGCTCCGGCCGCGGGGGCCGTGACCGTCGGCAGCGGCGGTAAAGGTATCGCGGAGGACAGTGTGCTCCAGGTAGTCGACAATGGTGACGCGAGCGCTCTCGAGGCCCTGGAAGCGCTCGCGGCGGGTGATGTTGAGCCAGCGCGGGTCCCAGCGGGCGCGGTTGTCGAGCTGGTTCATGTAGAGCTCGGCCACTGTCTCGAGCCAGTGGTCCAGGCTGGGCACGCCGCCGTACTCGTCCCCGCTGTCCTGGGTGCCGTCGGCCGCGCCGTCATCATGTCTGTCGGCAGGACTAGCACCAGCGACCCCCTGAATCCGTGGGGCTTTGGCGCTCCGTTCGGTCGAGTTGCGCGGCACGCGGTAGTGGGGATTCCACCTTTGCGACGAGGGCCAGTCCAAATCGTACCCGCGATCTTCGTCGCCCTCGACGGTGGCTTTGCTCGGGTTCTTTGCCATGGCGGCAGCAAGTGATAAATCGATAAAATTAAACAATAGACCGAGATCATTGCCCCGAGGGAAAGGCCACCAGGCTACATGTTGGGCGAGGAGCAAGATGAAGAATAAAAAGACACGAAAGCATGAATACCATCAAACAAACGAAAACGGCCACAGCCCAAGCGCATCCTCAGCAGGGGCGGGCCGTCGAAATGAGGGCTGCGGCTGAAGGCGCGTAGGTGGAGGAATAGGGATTATAGCGGCTGCCTAAAGTGGGTAGCTCGAGGCTCGTAAACCCAGACACTCTAATTCGCCCGATTCTGGATGTCAGAAGTTTGAAGCAACAGCTAAGGTGCCCAAAGCGGCCTTTCTCCAGAGGATGGATGGCGTGAAGTCGAGATAAAAATCACAAAAAGGGTTGGACCACCAATCCCGAGGATGGATGGTTTTAGTTGAGATGCGTGTGCCCGGACTCGAACCGGGAGCCCATCGATGGCAACGATGGATTTTACCCTTAAACCACACACGCTTGTCACTGATTGGTGACGGATCCGCTCGTGGATGGCTCAAGTCTGCAGGGGCAGGCTTGGGTGCGGGACATGATGGGCGATCCACAGATCGAGATGTTGCGATGAAGCAACGGAACGAAAATGGGCATGACCTGGTGCAATGGACAGGCGGCCAGAGCATAGAAATCAGAACGAAAGAAAAAAACGCCAACCACACAAATCACATCTGCCGGACCTCCGTGGCTTCTTAGCCACCCATTCTATCGTACTGCCAGGCAGGGTTGGCGATGGTAAGGACGGCACGTGGAAGGATCTGGCAGGCTGGGGACGACGGGCATGGGGTGGAGCCTTGCATCGAACGGCACGCTAGCCCCTTGCTAGCACCATCACCACCAAGGAAACGCGAAGGTGTGGGTCTCCCATCGAGATGTCGAGCAAGACAAGCCTTGGTTTCTCCATCCCCATTCGACCATTCGACAGGCCTGCCCGCCGGAGCGTGCTGAGAGGGCGGGGGACAAGCCCCGACAAGAACAATAACGTCATGCTGCTTCCAAGTTTTTCTACGCCCGCACCAGCCTCCCCGACCACTGCTGCGTGTCGCGAGTCGCCATCATGGATGAATGTCTCAGTGAGCAATTAAAACCAGGCGGTCACCCGGCGCTGAGCCTGGTGCGCCTGGTGACTGCTCTAATCCGGTAGCGTTCTTCTGCGAGGATTTTTTTGTCGGGCAAAGCAACGCCCCGTCGAGCAAGCGTTTATGTTTGCCATCGTGCGTTGTTGCTTTTACCTCGAGCCGGCCAGTCCTGCGTCCCGTGCGTTGGCCAATACCGACCCAGAAACCCCAAGCACGAGCCTCTGATCGGCAGTAACACCAGACAACACAGCCCACCACCCATCATGGCCCCAGTCGCAGACCCTCAACTCGCCACCCGCACCGCGCCCGACGGCGCGACCCGCGTGCTGCTGCTGCCGCGCCAGCAGCAGGGGACCGTGACCATCATCCCCCTCGGCGGCGACGTTGTCACGACGACGAGCGGCAGCACGCTCAGCGGCGGCGCCATCGCCGGTATCGTCATCGGCTCCGTCGTCGGCTTCCTGCTGCTGTGCTGGATCTTCCGGTGCGCCCTCATCAAGCAGACGAGCCAGACTTACGAGGAGGAGAAGGGCCGCCGGCCCCGGAGCCAGTCCTACTACGCCCAGGAGATCCACGGCGTCGGCGTCGCCGCCGACGGCTACACGCACCGCAGCCGGAGCCGCCAACACAGCCGCCACAGCCATCACGGCGGCCACCACCATCACCATCACTCGCACTCGCGCGGCCGCGGCAGCAGGAGCAGGAGCGCCGTGCGCGTCACCTCCACCACCACCGCCCAGATGCCGCACGTCGTCGAGCCCACGAGGGTCTACTACGGCGAGAAACGCCACCACAGCCGCAGGCGGAGCAGCAGCCATCACGATTACTGAGTGACCAGCGCCAAGGCCTCGCTGGAGCTTTTGACTTGGATTGGCTCAATCGTTGCCGCCGTTTTGGTCCGTCTCCCACTAGCAGTCCGCCGGCGCAGGTCACACCGCCCAGATGCAAGCAACATATTTCCAACCACGACGCGCATTCTATATTAGTTCCTTCTCCCATCAGGTCTCGCTTTTTCTTTTCTTCTTTTACACGGTATTTACCTACGGAGCAGTGGTGTCGCTGCCTGTGAGGCATCAACACGCACGGCACCTCACGGGCGTTGGGAACGGACAGGACGGCATACGTCGTAACAGGGGTCAAAAGGAGGAATGGTGGCGGTGCGTGTTTTTTTTTTGTATCTACCTTATGAGCCCACGATAATTCGTCCATCTTCTACGTCTCCTCGCAATCGACACGCCTGATACCCCGTTTTCGGTAACGGTGATTACACGGATGCCTTACAGTCGCAACGCTCGCTGCGTTTCCTCCAAAGCGCTTGATTCGGCCAAGCACTCCTTTGTTCAGTATGACGAGGGATACTCGGGCCATCGCCACAAAGAGAGCCTGCCCCTTCATGAGCCTGCTGTACTCTCCACCACAAAGAATTGTTTTCCGACTACATTACAGTCGTATCTTCTATTACCCTGTCATGGCTTTGTTCTTCAGCATCACCGCCAAGTGGCTCTCTAGTATAAAACTCCGAGTACTGCATCACTAATTGCCGACTTGAAACTATCACCACCATCCAACTTTCCTTGCAACCGCACCCACCGAAAGCAACTGACACCCCTCTAGCGCCACGCTCTACGCCCCTGATAACTCTCTCTACGCTCCTGCCATCCCATCATCATGACTGGACCGCTGGTTGTCGTTGTCCACTTCGGGAACCCCCGGCAGTACTTCCAGGTACTCGCCAAGGTGGGCGAAGGTCGATTTCACGTGGCTCTGCGGGTGGCCCCCTTGCGCAACGCCCTGGGGCACCGCATCGGCGAGGGCGATTTTGTCCTCAAGTTTGCCAAGCAGGAGACGGGGCAGGCCGACTCGCCCCTGCGGGTGGAAGCACGCAACGTCCCAGTGTTCCAGACGGCACAGCTTGACAGCCCGTACGAATGCCCCAACATCGCCAGGCTGATGTTCGACTTCACCGGCTCCCGGAACGTCGGGAATCTGCTGGCACATGGAGACCTGAGCTCCACGCTCTGGAACTTTTATTCCGTCGGAACCCTCGGGTCCCTCTGCCTCGCTCTCCGTGAGTCGGACGCCCCCTTTCCCGCCTACTTCGGCGCTCGGCTGCTCTCCCAGATGCTCGAGGCGGTCTACGCGATGCACATGGAGCATCGTGAGTTTGCGATCACGCACCGGGACGAGTGCTCGGCCAACGTGTTCATCGACTACCCGATGCGCGGGGACCCGGGCTTTCTCCTGGGCGACTTTTGTGAGGGCCAGATCCTCCGCGCGTCGTCCGGGACAAAGCCCCGGTATGACGCGCTCCGGGACAGCATCACTAGGGTCTGCCGGGGCAGCATCTTCGAAGTGCCGCACAGCAACTCGCAGCGCAGCGAGCGGCAGTACTGGCAGCAGATTCGCGTCCACCTCGACAGGGTCGTCTCCGCCGCCGCGCGGGCCCCGACCCGCCCCGGCATGCGCGGCTGGAACGACATGGGCCGCGCGCTGAGCGACGCCATCGTCGCCCTGCAGCACCTGGCGCAGGCCATCGTGTTCGCCGAGGGGGGCGACGCGCTGTTTGCCGACTTCCGAGAGGTGGCGCGTGATCTTGCTGACCGCAACTCGCGACCATCCCTGACGGCCGACAACTATGCTGACGCGGTGCACTTGGCAGAAAGCACTTTCAAGCTCCGCACTGGCTGGAAGATCGCTGGTACGCTGCCCGGCAACCCTCACGAGGCTGATCTGAACAATCTGATGGACCCGCCGCGACGGGAGTAAGGGTGGACAACGGACTCACTGACCCCTTTGCTTCTTCTCCCGCATGCAGTCTTCACCGGCGGTTATAGGCAGGTTGGAGGTGCCTGGTAAGTACGCATGCCACTGAAGTGCCACCTGGCCTGCGAGCAGCTTATCGACTTATCTGTCCTTCGGTTCTCATCACACATCGACGAGAAATGATCTTAACCCATGTATTTCTCTAGCCATTCCACCTCTTGATCTTTGTTCACCAATAGAACCTTAAATGCCAAATCTGATGACCAAAACCACCACACTGTTCACACAAGCTCGATCTCTTCGCTCTCCTGCGCCCCTTCCGCATAGCTCTCCCCATGCATTATGCCGTGCACATACGCATGCGTTACTACCTTGTATCCTCCTCCCGCCAACGGCCTCAGCAGAAATGGCACCTCCAAGCCGTCGATGACGACGATCTTGTCTCCGAGCTTCAGGGTGACGAGGCCAGATTCGTGGGCAGTTCCCATTAAGCCGCCTTGTGTGAGGAAGAGACGTCTATGCATATTTTTCAGCATTGCCAACACATGGCAATGTAAGACTGGCTTTTTCATCACTGCCTTTATGCCTGATGACCATATCGATGTGGAAAGAATGTCGCACCAGCGGTCATATGCATTTTGAGTTCCGTAGTTGTCAAGTAAGTTCGGGTCCTCGAGGAATAGCGTCTGTCGAAGTGCCTTTCTCCTGGCTTCTCTTGCTGGCTGATCGAGCTGTCGTGTCGCAGTGCAGCTAGGCTTTTGAGCCAGCTTGAGCCAGTCTTGGAAAACCAACATTCCGTGACAGCAACGCCTGTAGAGTTGACTCATCATCGACATTCTCTCCTCGTGCGTGCTTGGAAGCCCGCCCGCTTCGAAAGCCTCGGGGTTTCCCACAAGCAACCTCCTCCCTAGCTCGCTGATCGAACCGACTATCTTTCCCCGAGCGGACAGGCTGGGACTCGCAATACTGGAAAAACGCCAGTGGGATGGCCCCGCCCCGCCGGCCGAGGGAAAGTAATAACATTTTGGGAATCTCAGACCCTGCTCAGCCCCATAGCCGCCGTACCCAGAGGTGCTCCAATCCGGGACCCAGGAGGGAAGATCCTTACGCCGTTGGTGAGACGGAACGTGGTAGAGGACACGCAAGTTCTTGTCGTGAGCAATGCAAGCCGCGGTGGCCTCTGTGTAAACGGTTGCAAGAGGTTTCTTGTAATCAGGTGCAGGTAGGGCCATGCCTATTTCCTGGAAGACTCCGACCAAGGCGAATATCTTGTCCTTTGGGTCACTCGATTGCTTTTCTCGGGCGCATCCCAGCATAAAGCTCATCCCGTAAGGGGTGGTGTCTTCCCCATTTCGACTTGACCCAACTGCCGTATTTATATTGGACTTGGCTTCCATCAGGGCTCTCTGCAAAAGCATAGCCCCTGTCCACCACTCCCAGTCAACCGCCCACTCTTTCGAATGGTGAATAGCCGTACTGAAGTAGTATATTGAAACCCACGGGATTGCCGTCTTGCCACAAAGGACTGTGGTGCGCAGGATTGGTGACATTGTAGCTTCCTGGACAACCCACATTCTGGTAAACCAGGATGATTCGAAGAGCGCGGCGAATGGATTATCACCCGGTCTGTGGGTGCCTATATTACGCTTGTCAGCACCAACTTCGGGGAGGTTTTTATGTAAAAATGCTCTCAGCGGAACACCAGTTAACACACCATTAAGCTTGAATTCCTGCAATATTAATTTCGCAAGGCCTACATTGTCCCAATTCTTCATTCTCTCGGTGTCGGCAAGGCGATAGGAGTCAGAGAACGAGTGAATCCGCTGTAGTATCGGCCGCAATCGCTCGATGAGCGGCCTAAACTTCGTATCGTCGTCCCCAAGCCAAATCGTCATCTTACTCGCCCTTTTGTAAATCTCTCCCATTAGGGCGACCTGGTCGTTCCTTTCTTCGACGGCTTCGGCATTCTGATTGATACAAATGCTGTCGATCCATAGTTCAGTCGTCCCAGAGTCGTTTCGCAACCGACGCATAGCGGCCTCGCAGTTCGGCGTCACCAGCAGGACGCCGCCATCGCACAAAACTTCGCTGGACGGCGATTGGGCATCCCAGCTGTAGGACAGCGCGTTGTAGCTTGCACTTCCATTTTCGGGGAGAGTATCAAGAGAGATTTCGGAGATCCTGCAGCAAAGTGGTGCGACAATGTCCGGTGACGGTTCCAAGAACAAGACACGGGTGTGGCGTGAGCTGGAAAGAGGTGTGTAGCTATATGTAGAATTCATCTTGAAGAAGTCGGTTATGTTTGAGGTAGATAGTTTGGAGATTTTAGCGATCTGGAGGATTTGGTAGGCCCCCAGTGTGATGTTCTCCCTGGCAGCTCAGCTGGTGACTAAAGCAGCAGAGTCTTCTCGAGTGGCTGTGGGTCAAAACGCCCTTTTATACAGGCTCCGAGAGATCACATGCGGGGCACAAGTTACGGAGCCTCACTCTTAGGCATCCATCACTAGGACTCGTTGGGCATCAATAGGGCTAACTACTTGGCACCCAGCTTTTGCTATTTGGCGCCAAGCTAAACCGGAAACGGCACACCAATCGTGCAAGCACACACGGGTTTGGCACTTTACCCAAATCCCCGCGAATTTCGCGCGCGCGCATTAGAAAATTCTGGCAACGGGCAGGAAAAAGAAAGCTCGAAACGTTAGAATGCAAATGCTTTCATAATACAAGTGCTTTTATAGTATAAACGCTATAAAGCGCTGTAGAAGTGCAGGCGCTGTAGCCCAAGTGGCGTAATCGCTGCAGCACAAGTGGTGCAGGCGCTGTAGGTGTTGTAAACGCTGTAGCGCATACCAAACGAGTGCATTCAATTGCACAAGTAAAATGTCCATAAAAAATCGAATTCACGAATGTCGTCACTGTACATCACTCCATATAGTTTAGCTTAGGTACCAAATAGCAAAAGCTGAGTGCTTAATAGCCAGTTTCGCATTAATGCAGGACTTCGACTTTTGCGGTTTCCACAGAATGCTCATGGCTCCTGTTACAAAGGAGGTTATCACCCAGGGCCGGTACACTGTTCTAGGCCTTAGTACGGAAGATTTGTATGGGCACTCGGTGCTCCGCACCGGTGCAGTGCCCGGCAGATGCTTGCCGAGCACTCGCCGGCATCAACAGGGGTGCGGTAGTGGGTACCACGCCTACAAGAGAGTGGTATCATTGTATATAAGGAGGGCACAAGGCCCACGGCCGTGTACCCGTATACATTTTTCTTTAAAGCTTTAAATAAGCCTACATAGACCCTATCTTGCATCGATTGTCCGTTATAGCTCCCAGGTACTATCCTCCGGCCCGCAGTCCTTTTATTACAAACGGGCCCGGGTTTGCTTTTATATTCGTACTACTTACAAAGCTCGGTAATGGCGATTTGAAATGTGCATTTAAAAAGCCGCCCACAACTTTTAAGAAAGGCCGCTTGATATGAAATGTTTGATAGCTGGCTGGCGTTATGTTCGTAATGCCCAACCACATCGCTTGCATAAGTTTAGCTACGCAGTACCTGCTTAGCACCCAAACCGGAAAAATCACGCAAATTTGTGTGTTTTTTAAGCTGGCGATAGGATCTTCTTAATGGCCAAACTAGAAAACTCCGTAATAAACTAAGCGGCGGCCAGGTTTTTGCGTTTTGAACAACCTTAAATACAAGCTGTTTGTAACTAGCTTAATCAAATTTTGCATTACAAAGTAAGTGTAGTGGCCAAAGTGAGTATAAAGACCATCCTTTGCTGCCGGCTTGATAATGCTCTAAAAAAAAGTCGAGTCCCATGAAGCCACAGAATGATTGCCCCCCCTGTTTTAAAGCAGTTAAGATCGACAGCACCAGTCCCACTTACAATCGGGCTGATCTACGTGGAGATCTGGGGGGAAGCCGATGCTTGAGATCAACTTGCTTGAGATTAACTTGAGATCTGGCAGCCTGCTAGATGTTGGTGACCGTGGAAATACTGCCACAGCTTGGGCTGTACTGGAATGGCACAACTCATGAAAGAATCGGTCCGAATCCGAGCCCTTGGCTTGCAGGCAGGGTGATATCAACATCAGGCCAAGCAAAAAGTACGGGGGGATTGCCCCGGGGGAATGCACTGACTAGACAGAAAGCAAGCCATCCAGAGCAGAAGTGCTGTTGCTGTAGCGCCGATGCCTCTTCGCAATGCCGCCTGACCACCCACGATAGTGCTCTGCCGGCCAGCCGCAGCAGTCCGGAGCCGTCGGTCCGCGTTCGGTTTTATTCCAGGGGTCACGCTCCGGCTCAAACTCAGCCAGGCGCAAGCCATCCCACCGTGATTGCGCCGATCTTCCCCGCACCAGGTTTCCTCCGCCGCACCCTGGTCGGCGGCGCGATCAAGGGACTGGAGTCCCGAGGAAGTGAAACCGCCCAGCTGGGTGCCTACATGCCAATACGGGATGTCACAGGGTTTCAGCGTCTCGCATTGACACCCATATCTGTGCCCAAGCCAAGTCAGCCCGTTTCAGCATGAGGGTTTGCGGATTTCTTCTTTTTTTTTCTTTGCTTTTTTGCGGCGCTCCTTGTGTGCCCAGTGATGGAAGTGACGGCGTGGAATTATTGGAATGTTATGGAAAAATCACATCGGCATCCCATAGCGTTAAGCGTAGCGAATTGTTCCAAACAACCAGCCAAGCGTTTACCGTGGTAAGACCCAAATGCGCGGTACGGTGCATCTAGATCTTAGTGGCTGGCATATACTGCCGGGGGCACTCGACCTGCCCGCCGTGGGATTTTTGCGGAGGCTGGACGTCCACGATGGAACGCTACGGATGGCTGCTTGATGGCAGGGTCGGAAGTGGGAGGGGAAAAGAAAAAATTCGACACTCCTTGGCATGTCTTTGACATCCTAGAATCCCATCAAGTATTCCACCAAGGATTCTCGTTCCCCGGCACTTTGTTTCCATAAATTGTTTCCATGATTGGTGGGACATCACCATATCCACGGGAAAGAAGCAACGGCGTTGCCCTGGATGTTCGGAATCCAAGTCCGGATCTGAGAACGGATCAGAAGGCAGATGGACTGCGACTTCGATGGCAAGTGAGGCGGCAAGGCTCTGCAGGTGGGCGATCTTCTATAAAAGCGTCCACCCAGCTCGCAAGTTGGGGATCGATCCACTGGACACCAGACCACAGCCTCAGCAAGCGGTCTTCACTCCCTTCGTTTCTCCCCGCCCTCTTCCTCGCCAAGTACACTCCTCTTCTGCCCACCATGAAGGCATCCGTGAGCCTGAGCCTGCTGCTCGCGCCCCTCGCGGCGCAGGCGCACTACATCTTCAGCCAGCTGATTGTCAACGGGCAGGCCAAGGGCGGTGACTACACGTACATACGCAAGAACAGCAACACGTACATGCCGTCCTTCGCCAGCAACATCGTCAACTCGCCCGACCTGCGCTGCAACACGGGCGCGCGCGCCGGCACCGCCCAGACGTACACGGTCAAGGCCGGCGACCGGGTCGGCTTCAAGCTGTGGTACAACGAGTTCATCGAGCACCCGGGCCCGGGCTTCGTCTACATGTCCAAGGCGCCGGGCTCGGTCAACAGCTACGACGGGTCGGGCGACTGGTTCAAGGCATACGAGACGGGCCTGTGCAGCGGGCAGCCGAACAAGGACGGGGCCTGGTGCACGTGGCAGAAGGACCGGATCGAGTTCACGATCCCGGCCCGCACCCCGCCCGGCGAGTACCTGGTCCGGGTCGAGCACCTGGCCATCCACGAGTCGCACGTCGGCAAGGGCCAGTTCTACATGGAGTGCGCGCAGCTCAAGGTCGAGGGCCCCGGGGGCGGCACGCCCGGGCCGCTCGTCAAGATCCCGGGCCTGTACAAGACCAGCGACCCCGGCATCGCCTACAACAAGTGGACCAACAACCCGGCGCGCTACGTGATGCCCGGCCCGGCCGTGTGGAACGGCAACTGAGTGGTGGTGGCGGGGACGTGAATGGTGCGATAACGAGTGGGTGGCACAGTCAATCCGTTTAGGCGAACGAAGATGATTGGCTTGAGGATTTGTTGAGTACCTAGTGTGTACATAAGATGCAGGCACGATGGCTAGGTTTCTCGTCTATCTCGTTCGCTACGCTGCTTGGTCCAGCTCTATGCTTCTGGTCGTTCAACTGGGTCATCAACCCGGAGGTTATTTCAAGGCTTTTCCTGTGCTCCCTCGATGTCCTTTGGTCAGCCGATCTGCACCACCTCCATCTGGCAGCATCCGAGCCTGACCCCTGTGCTCTGCATTGACCGCTGCAGCTCCCCGGGCCGCCTCCACTCTCGGAGGGTGCACTCCGAGCCACCCTCAGACCGTGTGACAGTGGCAAAGCTCCCCAGCGGGGAAAAGCGCGCGAGCCTGAGCGATCTCGTTGGCCCGCGGAACCAAGCGAGCGAGACACCTCTGCCGTCAAGGGGCCCTGGCTGCCGAATATTAATTGCGAAGGGAGCCCGGCGAGGCAATTGGGGTCTGGGTGTCTCGCTCCATTCTGGGGCTGTCGCCGAGGTGGACGGCCCAGCCGGCCCGGGACTGTCGTAGGGGGCCGCAGTAGGGGAGTAGAACAGAACGTATGGCGGATTTCAGCTCCGGCGCGATTTTTCCATGGTGTGGCCGCCGCCGATCAAGACAAGCATCACAAGCTTTTAAAAGGAGGGACTCCCGGAGATGCCAAGTGATTTCCTGAACTTGGCCACTGCGCCAGGCTAGTTTTGAACTTTCGTCTGTTTTTTTGTTTTTTTTTTGCAATCTCTCCCCTTCCGGTCCTACAGAATACCTGATCCCAGGATGCGGTTCTCAGTAGCCAATGTCCTGGCCGGGACCGCCTACATGGCCAGCGCCGTAGCGGCCGGGACGGTCATCTGGGACGGGCGGTTCAACGACCTGACGTCGTCGACGGATCTCAACAAGTGGTCGTGGGGCAGCCAGGTCGGGCCGTACCAGTACTACATCCACGGCAGCTCGCCCGTGGCCAGCTACATCAACCTGTCGCCGAGCTACAAGAACCCGGCCGACGCGGCGTCGCGGCAGGGCGCCAAGTTCACGCTCGACTCGACGGCGTACTGGAACGGGCAGAACATGCGCCGGATCGAGCTGATCCCGCAGACGACGGCGGCCATCAACAAGGGCAAGGTCTACTACCACTTCAGCATCAAGCGGTCCGACGTCAACCCGCCAGCCACGACGCGCGAGCACCAGATCGCCTTCTTCGAGAGCCACTTCACCGAGCTCAAGTCGGGCTGGCTGAGCGGCGCGCCGGGGACGAGCGACCCGGCCCTGCGCTGGATGGTCAACCAGCAGACCAAGTGGAGCGTCGACTGGGCCGCCGGCGTGTGGCACAACGTCGCCTACGAGATCGACTTTGGCGCCGGCACCGTCGGCTTCTGGCACTCGACGGGCGCCGATCCCTTGACGCGCACCGTGGCCCCCGTCTCGGTCAGCACGTCCAGCAACGGCGCCGACTGGCACCTGGGCGTACTGGAGCTGCCCCGCAGCGGCTACCCGGACGCCGTCGAGGACTTTTACTTCTCGGGCGTCTACATCGAGACGGGCTCTATCACCACCGCCATTGGCACCGGCGGCGGCGGCGGCGGCGGCGGCAGCTCGGGCACCTCGCCCGGCAGCACCTCTGCCCGGCCGACGGCGCCGGCAACGACGACTTCGGTCCCCACCACGGCTCCTCCAACCACCACTACAAGCCCGCCCAGCCAACCGGGGCAGACGAAGTTTGGGCAGTGCGGCGGAAGTAAGTTTTTGCGGGTTTTCTGTCCTCTTCATAGGCCCTTCTTTACGCTTGTGCCCAGTTTCGCTGACATGTCCTCTCCCCGCGCCAGACAACTACTCTGGCCCCACGTCTTGTATTGGCAGTACTTGCTCGGCCCTCAACGAATGGTGTAAGTTGCTCAGGCTTCCCACTGCTCAGTGATAGCATACTGACAAAAAGAGTAGACCATCAATGCGTGTAAAGAGCGGTCTGGGTGGGCGGGACCGGGAACCGACGACGAGTCGGCGTAGGGCTATAGGGAGTAAAGCGGGAGACGAGACGGGTACCAAGTTCTAGCAGCAAGATCCCAGAGCATTTTCACTGTAGATATTTCCAGCAGCTGCCTGCGCAGTACATACAAACAGAAAACCTGCAAGCATGGTCCAAGGAGAGGCCACGAGCAAACACCACAGCAGAGTGCATGCAGGTGAGTGAAAATGAAAGTCGGCAACCCCGGCATGTTCAATGAGTTCGAACCGCAATATTCGCGAAACCGGCAACAAAAAGATGCTTCCTGCAGCAAAAGGTAATGTCGCGTCCTCGCCTGGGCTCGAACCAGGAACCTCCTGATGACTTGCCATCCACGATGTGGTATAACAGTCAGACGCGCTAGCCAATTGCGCCACGAAGACTGGGATGTGAATTGGATGATGGAGCCGCTCCAGTTTCTGCTCTATAGTGTGTCATTTTCTGGGACCTGGTGCATGTGCAGGCCGCGACTCGGGGGCTTGTCCCGGCCCCTCCCCACCTGTGCATGCACCCGAGCGCGGACGCGGCCAAGCAACACGACATGTGTGCGGAGAGAGCCGGTAGGTTCTGGCTGATGCTGGCAAAAACATCTCCAACCTTGTACATCTCGCACTCGGCGATAAGAGCAGGCACATGACACTCCAACCTCCATCCCCCTCCTCCCAAATCGAGCCATTATCGAGCAAGACGGCGAAAGAGGCCGCCCGATGGCGCTCCGTCCTCGGCTGGAAAGGAGAAAGCCATAGAGTGGCCAAGACCATGCGATCGCCATCAACCAAAGAACGGGAGCGCCGTATAGCAGGCCCGCCGCCAAAGCGACATTAGCCGTGGCATTTACACGGAGTGGTTTTAATATCCAGATGGCCTCGCGGCGTGCGAACCGCTTCCACCGCCGTACCAAACTCTCTTCCCTCTCCCTCTCCGCCCCCGCGCGCGGTTGCCGTACGAGGCTGGTCGTCCCGCAGAGAAAACAACGCACCCATGACGTCTTCTGGCTCGCCGCCGTGGACCATCAACCCCACCGCACTTTGGGTCGGAACGACATCTTTTCCGAACACCCAGGCGCTCCGCCTTGTCCCGGGTTATTACCTCTCATCATATCCTACCTCTGAGGCTGGGGCGATGCCGGCGAAGGTGGCTCCCCAATATACGTCTTGCAAGCCTCGCACCCAGTTAAATACCCCGACTGGCCCTTGGCCGACGCTGGGATCACGGCCAGCCAAGCATCTTGCAATCTCACGCCGTCTATTTCCAAGACGGGCTGGGCGCTGCTAACCCACTTGTGGGCAGACAAGCTTCGCGTCCATCATCCGTCCTCCCCGTCCCCTTGCCTATCGAGGCAGGAGGCCCCTTGTGGTGTCCCGACCGAACAAGCACCGCACCCCTGCGGAAGATCGTCCCGGTGGCTTTCCAAGGGGCGAGTAGCTTGGCCCTCTGGCGAGGCGGCGATGACGGCAGGGGCTTCGGAGGAAACCCCTCCTTGGGGCAGAAGAAAGGGCCGATCGACTTGTCCTGGCCCCAAGATGCCCTCTCCACGAGGATATAAAATGGCGGTGGACGGCACGCTTGATATTGGAAGTATCTGGTTCTAGCCTCATCGCACTCGCCGACTGGTTTCTCGCAGGCACATAGGAAGAAAGGAGTAAGGCAAAAAATAAGGCGAAAAGGACGAGAAAAAAAGATGAAGGCTTCCACCGCACTCCTGGCGCTAGCCGCGGCCGCCAACGCGCTCCCCTCGGCCAAGGTCAGCAAGAGGGCGTGCAGCTCGCCCGTCCGGCTCGACGCCAAGACGAACGTCTTCAAGAAGTACACGCTGCACCCCAACTCGTTCTACCGGTCCGAGGTCGAGCAGGCGGTCAAGGACATCAGCGACCCGAGTCTGGCCAGCGCCGCGGCCAAGGTCGCCGATGTCGGGTCTTTCATCTGGGTGTAAGCTCGCATCACACTCTTCCGCCCTGGTGATCCGCGGGCTAGATGCTGACACGCAGAGACAGCGACACCATCGCCAACATCGACCGCCTGGCGGCCGAGCTCGAGACCGAGATTCCGTGCGAGAACATCCTCGGTGTCGTCGTCTACGACCTGCCCGGCCGCGACTGCGCCGCCAAGGCGTCCAACGGAGAGCTCAAGGTGGGCGAGCTCGCGCGGTACAAGACCGAGTTCATCGACAGTAAGCAGCCCCTCTAAGCCCTTGGCATAACGGCCTTCCAATTCACCACTAACACACACAACCCCGCAGAGATCGTGGCGCTCCTCAAGGCCAAGCCCAACACGGCCTTTGCCCTGGTCATCGAGCCCGACTCGCTGCCCAACCTGGTCACCAACAGCGACCTGACGACTTGCCAGCAGTCGGCGGCCGGCTACCGCGACGGCGTGGCCTACGCCATCAAGCAGCTGAACCTGCCCAACGTCGTCATGTACCTCGACGCCGGCCACGGCGGCTGGCTGGGCTGGAACGATAACCTGAAGCCGGGCGCCCAGGAGCTCGCCAAGGTTTACAAGGCCGCCGGCTCGCCTTCGCAGTTCCGCGGTATCGCTACTAACGTCGCCGGGTGGAACGCCTGGTAAGTTGGGCTTTACCTTGTGGCCTACCGAGTTGTATTCTATGCGATTGTTGCTAACGAGCTTGTGGACCGTATAGGGATCTCTCCCCCGGCGAGTTCGCCAGCGCTTCCGACGCCCAGTGGAACAAGGCCCAGAACGAGAAGCTGTACACGGAGCTGTTTGGCGCCGCCCTCAAGACGGCCGGCATGCCCAACAACGCTATTGTCGATACTGGCCGGTTAGTTCAAATTCCGCTAAGCACTTTATATCTCGGAAAAAAAACTCCCCACTAACTCTTTCACCCCCACAGCAACGGCGTGCAGGGCCTTCGCGAGGAATGGGGCCACTGGTGCAACGTCGACGGCGCCGGCTTCGGTGTGCGCCCGACAGCCACCACTGGCTCGACGCTGGTAGACGCCTTTGTGTGGGTTAAGCCCGGCGGCGAGTCGGACGGCACGAGCGATAGCAGCGCCGTCCGCTACGATAGCTTCTGCGGCATGAGCGACGCCTACCAGCCCTCGCCCGAGGCCGGCCAGTGGCACCAGGAGTACTTTGAGATGCTCGTCCGCAACGCCAAGCCTGCCTTCTAAGGTGGTTTCGGTGATGGGGCGACTGCTCCCCCATTAGCCTTGAGTTGGGAGAGTACTGGATGGACAAAAGGAGGGCTGGATCACAAGAGAACAAGGAGGTGCGACGCAGACAAGTCGATCGCGAATCGAATGTATATATTCCCATAACTCGCTGAAGCCAATGGCAGATAAACCACCTCGCTAAGCACCGCATAAAAAGATACTGAACAAAGATATCGTCATGACGTCGTCCCATATGTACAATTTGTCACCAAACCATAGCTAACAAGTTTGAACTCCCAAAGGACCTCAACGCTTAGGCGGCCTTGGTGAAAAAATCCCACATAGAGTCGGCCTGAAGGCCGTTGGCGACTCCGAGAGGCGCCGTGTCGTGGCCGCCGTCAAAGGTGATGAAGCGGACGGGCTTCTTGCAGCCCGTAAAGTTGGTGACCTTGAACGACTTGCTGCCCTTGGCGGGGGTCTCGGGGTTCTTGTTGGCCTGGCAGCCGTTTGCCTTTGCAATCTTGTTCGCGATCTCGATGGCGCCCGGCAGCGGCAGGACGGCGTCGTTGATGCCTTGGATGCCCAGGTACGAGATGGCGCCCTTGGGCCCGTCGCAGCCGCTGACCTCGCCGGCGCCCTGGGCGGCGACGGCGCGGAACATGGTGGGCAGCGAGCACGCGACGGAGAAGGACATGCCGCCGCCGTAGCTGAAGCCCATGGCGAAGCGCTGGGCCTGGTCGACGCACAGGTCGTCCTCGATGGCCTTGATCATGGCCTCGACGAAGCGTATGTCGCGCCCGCCGTCGTTGGCCCAGCCCTTGTCGAGGCCGTCCGGCGCCACGAAGATGGCGGAGCCCGCGGCCTTGGCCTGGAGGCCGTAGAACTTGTTGAGGTTGGTGGGGTCGTTGACGACGTTGTCCATGGTGGCGCCGCGCCAGTGGAAGGCGAACATGAGCTTCTTGGGCTTGGCGTTGTCGTTTTTGTCGGGCACGGCCAGGATGAACTGCCGCTCCGTGCCGCCCACGTTGATCTTGTTGACGCCGTTCTTGAGCTTGCTGGCCTTGCCGCAGCCGGGCGAGTTCTGTGCCACAACGCCGGGCGCGAGGGCGAGCGCCGCGACCAGGAAGGAGGAAAAGACTGAGCCGAGCATTTTTGTTGTCTGAAATACGAAGAGAGAGTGTGGCGGATCAAGGAGTGAAAGGAAAGAAAGAATCAAGGGGTGAAAGGAAAGAAAGATTAGATCGAGGCCCGATGGGTGAGGAGAAGGGCAAAAGCAGGCCACAAAGGCGACGGCATAGCGTGTTTATATCCTCAACCTGGCGCCAGCAGCACGGCGTCCCGGGCCCGGCGTCGTCGGGTACCCGGCGATCGCATCAGGGACAATGCAACCAAAATAGATGACGATCGATAGGTCCTGCGGCCGTTTCCATCAGAAGAGTGCAGACGGCAAAACATGAGACGACAGCTTCCCGTCGCCTGCCCCTGGACCACTCCCCGGCCGGACGGTGTTTTTCCGCGAGAGCCCTGCCAAAGAAGTGCGTCGTCTGTATATTTGGAGCAAGCCGCGCGTGAGCCTCTCTCCACCATGGCGACACTAGGGTTATGCGCCTAGGGGTACCCCATGCTTCATGCCCTGTTATTGCCCCATCTAGCACAAGAGTGCGAGTCAAGCAGCGCAACACCGCCCTCCTGCTTGGATTCTCAACGGCACCGCCTTGCTGGGTGCCTTTCCATGTGGCCCCGGGGTGATCTTCCGTCTCCTCACCCCACAAAGATCGACAGGAGCAGGCACGACCGGCGCCAGGCAAGCGGCTGTCAAACCCCTTCTTCCGCTGGCATCCGGCACACCGACCATCGCTACCACGATGAGGTAAGAACGGTCGCCGTCGCTGTCGCCGATTGACCGAACTCACGTGGTCCAGCCCAAAGCCCCAAGGAATCGGCCTCGGAGCACTGGGTTCGAGGCAGCGTACACGTGGGATGTTGACACACAACCGGCCACGTCTAGTGCTACAGGACTCGACGATAGGTACCAAATGCGCGACCATGTTGACAGTGCCGGCCCCAACGGACATTCCGCTTGACGCCAATGACGTAAGGCAATGCCGGCCAGCAGCCCGTGAGTTCAAGGCAGATCATGATGGGTGACTCTGTGGCACACCTTTGTGCCGCGCGGTCAGACATGGAAGATGCCAGGCGAACGTGCCGGCCGGCCGGCCTCGAGCTAATCCCAGAGCCTTTCGGTAGATCAGCGAGATCTCGGCAGCCGGAATGCGACTCCGGGGGATCGCTCGAAGGGACCCAAGCTGACCAGGCCGCCTGCTCCCTTTTCAGGGAACACTGATCTGAGTCGTCAAAAAAGGAAACGGTGGGAAAATTCACACATTCTCCTGTGACGGCCCAATGTCCTGGCCGCCGGGAGGTTAGGCTCCGATTAGGCCGCCGCATTCAAATCCCACAGGCTGTCGGGGAGTCCGACGGGTGCACGCACGACTTGACGGGGTGCGACGCGGGCACGCCTCGACATGCCCTCTTGCCGGCCCAGGCAAGGGCGTTTTGAAGTGCCACAGAGCAGTTCTATCGGCCCTGACCGCCGCAAACTGACCGCTATTTTCTCACCTCGTGCCACGCCAGAGGAGACCAAGCTCATGGAGAAGTGTCGCCGACAGCCGTGGGCTGGCACTGGAAATAGATTAAAGTTACCCGTACGAGATTGTGGCCATTGTCTGGGGGAACTGTGGGCCCGTCGCTGGCAGCTTCCGGTGCGTCCTCCAACCAGTGAGGAGAGCAAGTACCCTGCAGTAGCCCCAGCCTCAATACGAGGTGGTATTGTGGTATTCCACCATTCCACCACCACACACCGATCGCCAACCCGCAGCCCATCCTTCCGATTTCGTATCGATGATGCCGCATCGCGCGCCCCAGATTGGCCTGCAAATGCCGTCAGCCGAGGAATTCTCCTTTCTGTCTGTTGTTCCCTAGGTACCTCTAGGCATAGCCGCAGAGTTTCCCTCCAATCGACCTGCCCGTTCTGAACTTGGGCAGTTTGGACGGCCGTTTTTTTGCGGGGTGCGTGTTTCCCCGTTGGGCCACGCCATGGCCCGAATATGCACTCCCCTCGCCCCCGCCCCCCGTCTCGTGATCTCGTGAGGAATTTTCAATGACATCGCCCTACTGCCGATCACGAACTTGGGCGGGGTCTTCGTATGCAGCATGCCATGGGCAGACCTCACTCGTGGCTGACATGCTCGGGTTTCCATCGAGCTCAGTCCATGACCGCTTCGTCTATACGGCAGGCGGCTGGTGACTTGTGGTTGATCGTGGCGAGATCACACAGAGCTGCTGGGCTGTATAAAAGGGGCCTTCGTGCCCGCCCGGAAGGTCCTGTTGTTGCCTATACCATCATCACCTCGATCAACAAGCAAGGACAGCCACTCGCTCATCATCTACTCGATATACTCAAATACAATATCTGCCACTTAATACCTCCATAATTACCTTCACCAAAAACCCACCACCCAAAATGCTCTTCTCCAAGACCGCCCTCCTCTCCCTCCTCGCCGGCGCCGCCTCGGCCGCGCCCGTGCCCGAGGAGGCCCAGTCCATGGTGGCCGCGGTGCCGCAGTGGACCATCGCCAACTTCAAGCGCACGTGCAACGGGGCCGACACGTCGTGCACGGTCCAGTTCGCCGTCGACACGCACCTGGCGGCGCCCACGCCCTGCTCGTACGTCGTCAACGCGGCCTCGCGGGCGTCGCGCGCCACCACGAGCGACATCACCTGCGGGCCGTACAAGGTCAGCTCCGGCTGGGACGGCTCGTGGGGCGAGGGCAACGGCTTCACCACCTGGGCCGTCGTCGACTTTGGCAACCGCCTCATCGTCTGGCCCGCCTACACCGACAAGCAGCTCGTCAACGGCCAGGTCGTCAAGCCGGACCTGAGCTTCCAGCCCCAGTCCATCAGCTGGTAGGCGTGGCCTTGCGAAAGCTGGTGCGGGGGAGTGGAGGGGTGATTGTGGGGGAGGACACGGTAGGGTGTCGTTCATGTCTGCATAGGAACACGGGATATGCGCATTTGGTACATATAATGGTCTAATGTTAATAATGAATGACCCATTACCATGACTTGGGCTGTATGCGCGCAGAGTATACGTTGTGCTAAATGGAAATAAAGTGATGTGTCCGACATTTTACGTTAGGTTGACGATAGAGCATGGAAGTCCAGATCTTGTCAACAGTTACAGCGAAGGGAATCACCGCGGGTTGGTGATATCTGTAAAATTCTGCAGCCTGGGCAAGCGCCCTGCTCTTTGAATCCGCTGTTTTCTAACGCCTAAAAACAAAAATTCCAAACAATAATCCTCCCACCTTCCCTTGAACGCCTATGAACTCCAAACCATCACCAGTCGCACTCCCGTGCTATGCAGCCCCGTAACACCATATCATGTCCCTGCCAAGATCCCAGCCCCCTCGTTCAATTCCCCATTTTCATACACGCCCTAATACCAATCACCAGCACCGGCAGTCGTGGCATCGACCTCCTGCACCACACCCTCATCGCCCACGGACACCCCAGCCTCGCCGCCGACATCGCTTCCGCGGTCAGCATTGTACATCGGGTTGGGCGCGAGCGGGCCCGAATCCCGCTGCCCCCTGTCGGACGAGGATGAGGCGCCGGGTAGCTGCGTCGGCGAGGCGCCAAAGGGCGGGTAAACCCCGCCGGCGGCGGTGGCGGTAGCGCGGGGCCCGGACGCAGTGGTGGTCCCGCTGGCTTTGGCCTTGGTGGCCGCGACGCCATCGCCACCGCCACCGCCGCCGGTGCCGCGGCTGTGGTAGGGGTCTGCCTGAGCGCTGCTGCTGCCCGGCCCAGCGCTCGAGACGGCCGCGTGTGCGCCGTCGCCGCCAGAATTGGCGGACGGCGGCGGGGCCCCATCCTGCCAACCCGGCCACATACCCTTCGGGAGCCGGTGAGGGCCGCGCGCCCCGCTGGCATGTCCGAAACGTTCGACGTCCTGCAAGCGCTCGGATCTGACCGAGCGAACGCTATTCTTCACCACGGGGGCAGCGGATGCGATGCTGGCGGCCAGGGCGAGAAGGGCGACATTCTTGAGGTGAACCATTGTGATGATATGAGTGTTGGGTAGGTCGAGGGATGGGGGCAGGTGGGAGGTTCGGGTGGTTAATGGCGGTATGTGAGTGCGTTCTGATGAAAAAGATAGCTAAAGTCGAGGCTGGGAGTAGAGTGTAGAGGATGTTGTTGCGATGTGTTGTTGTTCTCTATCACCTCTTAACATGCTGAACCCGTTAGCTTTTATACGTTGTATAAGACAATTCTTGATCATCACGGCCGAGGACTCTTGATGTTGTTGGTCGCGATATTCTCTCTCCAAGTCTTTTTTTAGCCTGGCACAAGCACAGCCCTGCGTCTGTTGGTGCCTCAATCCCTGCAGCTTACTCCACCATCAACATCATGACCAACACCCATATTTTACTGCGAAATTCCGGGTCGTGTTGTTGGATCTGCAAACGCCAGCCAGAATCAATTGAGTCAGCGCGCCGGCGAGTAGCCGGCGCCGCATGGGCCACGAGCGTTGGCTAACGCAACTCGAACCAACGCTGGGAGATGGGCTTGTCGAGAATCTGCTTGTCCATCATGCCGTGCACGTACGCCTCACCGTACAGCCTCCAGACCTCGTCCTCCTGTCCGTGCTCCTGTCCTTGTTCCCCCTCGCCAGAATCTAGGCGACTGCCCTCGTCCCTCCGCAGGATGAAGGGCGTCTTGGCGCCAGCGAAGATGCACACGTCATCGCCCTCTTTCGTGCCGGGCGGCACCAGCATCATGTGCCCCTCGGCCGTGACGGCGAAGGACCGCATCATCATCCGGCCTGCCATGGTCTGGTAGAGGAACCGCACCTTGGCCGGGATGCTCTGCTCGTAGCCGGGCACCACCTGCAGCGCAAACAAGGTCCCGTGCAGCCACTCCGCCTCGGACTCCAGCATCATGGCGGGCAGGCCCAGCTCCGGCACCGGCGGGAACCCCAAAGCGCCGTCGGGGTCCAGGCCCCGGGACAGCGCTCTCTCCCTCCAGTCCGCCAAGGCGCCGAAGAGGGCGAAGGTGTTGTACGCGTCGCGCACCTTGTCGAAGAGGTCGCCATCCAGGCGCTCGCCGTCGGGCAGCGCGTCGCCGGCCACGGTGCGGCACAGCGCCCTCCAGGGCCCCTCGCCCGTGACGGGGTGTCTGCCGCCGCGCGACACGTGCCGTTCCACCAGCCGCCAAGCCTCCAGGTGTTGGTCCAACACCCCGGACCAGAACTTGAGCTGGTCCTGGAACAGTTGGTGCTCGAGTCCGTATCTCGCTGGCGGCGGTGCGCTGGCGGCAGCCGCGACCTTGTCGAACAGCCACCCGTGGATGCGCAGTCGGCGTCGGTCCGGCCGTATCTCGAAGCGCGCGCTATGCGGCGCGCCGGCCTGGTAGTTGGATATGATATTGTCCAGAGGGGAGACTCCCGGCGGGGCGGTGAGGTCCGGGATCCAGGAGGGCAGGCCGAGGCTGCTACGTTTGTAGTAGCATCCAGCGATGTTGAGAAGGACGAAGCAGTTCCGGCGCAATGCAAACTCCACTGCGTCGCCGTACACCTCCAGTACGCTGCGTGTATGATCTGGAAGCAATAGTTCCCGGGTGTCTTGGCCGATTTCAGCCTCCTCGTCATCATCAATTCCACCCCGACCCAGGCCGAGGAGGCCAATCACTTTGTCTTCCGGGCAGGTGGCTTTGGATTTACAACAATCGACTATTAGGTATGGCAGAAGCATCTTTGGGTTATCGTCGTACTCCCGGAACAGTTGTTTCCGCTGTGCGTCGATGCCATAGATGTGTGACAAACTGGATATCACCAAGAAAAAGAACTCAGCTAGCACGGGGGTCGAACTCAGGAAGACGCATACCGGCCCCCCTTGGGGTCCCCGGATGGCGGCGCCGATCGATGCGAACTGGTCCCAACTGAGGATACGTCCGCCGTACAGCAACTCTAACTCGCGAGCCAAGACGGTCTCCTGTATGATCCATGTGCGGGACCAGTAGGGGTCGACAAAGAGTTTCAGCAGCGCCCGCCAGTCGTGGATCTGGCCGGGGAGCGCCGCGGGCTCAAAGCCATGAAGGTGTCCGTCGGCGGCGCGGAAGCCACCGCGCATCGTGAGAGTGATTTCCTGCTCGGCTAGCGCGACCGCCAGCCTCGGGACGAACTCGGCGGCGAGGGCGGCGTCTGGGGAGTCGCTTAGGTACGCAACCACCTTGCGGGCGCCCCGGTAGATGGTCCGCATCAGGGGTATCTGCTGGTTCTTCTCGAGCGGGTCATCCTGGTTGATGCAGATGGAGTCGATCCAGAAGCGGCGGGGCTCCACGCCGGCGTCAGGGGCGAGGACAGGGAGCATGGCCGAGACCGCTGCGGTCACTCGTAGTGGTGTCCCGTCGACGGTGATGGTGTGGACCATAGCCGGATCGCCCCAGCAGTATGATATGGCGTCGTACTGTGCGTCGGAATCGCAGAGATTGTACAGGCTCAGGCTATACTCGACGGCGCCGTCATCTTTTCGTCTTATCTCTAGCAGCCGAGTTCTGGCTCCTGTCGACTGCCTCCCCGCACTGCCTGGCGTGCTGCTCGGAATGGGTTCATACTGGTAATATTGGGTCTGCTGGTCCTGAGCGCTGGCCGAGGAGTCTACGGGTGGCGAGGATACCGGGTGCATTGTGGACAAGGATTCTGACTGATTCATCGATTGTGAGTTCCAAGACAGCGCAGAGGGCATCTCAACATGGGAAATGCGGGGATGGAAAACATCTTGGGGATTGCGGCTGAGGTTGCTCTTTTCCGAATTCGCCTTAGCGCAGGCCCGGTTGTTGGAGCCTCGTGAGGGATGTCAGAGTATTTCTACATATAGATTGCGTGGGAGGTGATTCGATCCATGATTTTCGGTAGCAGGAAAACTGGTAAGAACAGAGACAGTCAGCAGCCTTGACGCCAAGCAGCCCACCCTGGCAGTAGAGGAGGATCAAGAACTGCCAACGGGAACCAAGCAGCAGGCAGGCATTCATATTGCACATAAAGCGAGCTGTGGTTAACCCAGACGCCTAAGCGGGAAATGTCAGTGCCTTGGCTCGCCTGCCACTTTTAGGGCCCCGACATGAAAGCAATGTCGGGAGAGATCCAGGCCGAGCCCACTGAAGAACCTGAGAGGGAAGGAGCTGCGCAGACATGGACACATGACACCAAGCAGGCACATCCTCAGCCAACACCCGCCGCGGGCGCCGAAGCCGCATCTGGCCTGGAGCTCGAGTCGGTTCGAAACGCGACGGAAATGCCATCTCCAAGGGGAAAGTAAGCAGCAGGGAAAGGCCAAAATAGGAGAACCAACAATCGAATGACGGCCGTTCGGAACCGGAGCTGGATCATCCCACGAGTGGAGGAAGGGAGCTCCACTATAAGAGACCTTTCCGACGTCTCTAGCATCAGCTTTAGCACCGCACAGCTCTCTTCTGGCCTCCATGCGTCAAGCTCCACTGTAAGGATGGAGCTGTGCCAGGGGTGGCGAAACATTGGGAAGTTGCAGACCGTGCCACGCACCTTCCAACAGTTCGTGGTCTGGTGGTGTCGGTCCTGCAAGCGAATGGATCCATCTTCGTACGGTAGGCCCGCTCGTTCCTGCAGCCGCTGGAATCAAGATTGATGCCCAGACTTTGATCACCAAACGGCAGGCGCTTATTTCCTCCCAACTCAAGCTTCTGGAGCTTTCGATCGCTGTCAGGCTACGCGAACTCAATCGGCTCGTGGCCGCAACCTTATCGACTTCAGGCCTGGTGCCTGGGGAGTCAAGGCGTCTTGTCGAGTCAACGCCTTCGGATGGCCGGGCCGGCTGCAACGCAGTAAGGGATCCCCTGTCGACCGAATTGGGCATGCGTCCAACTTTGCCATGCTGCCGCTCAGCAATGCCATCCGGGCGCGAGCTGTGGCAGTCTCAGACGCTCCCAGGGGCTGCCGATCACTTGTCGCGGCAACGGCATGCTCCATCCACCAACCTCACCCCTTCTGCCGCCATGACAACAATGCCGGGCCCGCGGAACTGCCCAAACGGCTGCCGCCAAGAGCGGGCACGACCCTGCCGCAGACGTCAACGGTCGCGTCTCTGAACAGCTCGCTTAGCATGGGGACCCACGGCCGCAACGGTGTGTCCGCATGGTGATTTGCCATGGCATACGCATGGCCAGCGAGGCCAGGCATGATCCGAGCGACGCGGCCGAGGGAAATCACCGCGGGGGGCAAGAATAGACGTAGAAGGGACATGATGGGACGGTGGGCGTTGCTCGGGGCGCTTCGTCCCATGGCGGTGCCTGGCTCGTATCTCTCGGAAGGGTAAGGGATCGACGGGCGCGGTCGACATCAGACTACAAAAGACCAGACGATGTCTCTGTCTTTTCTTCCTTTGCTCCCTTCTTCCACCACCCACTCCTTCACTGCCAGATCACCATAATCACGACCCGGTGTCGTCCAACTCAAGTCCTTCTTTCAGTTCTCTCCTTCGATTCGAACCGACCAGGCGTCGCTACTTTGCCAACTTTTCATACCTCCATAATCTTTGTTTCTTCAACAAACCCCCACCTTCTTCAAAATGGTTCGCATCACCATCGCCGCTACCCTGGCTTGTAAGTTACTGTCCCAACCAAGACACGTCTCTGCCTTGGAACAGAACAGAAATACTGACAAACCCTACAGTCGCCGCCGTCGCCCTTGCCCAGGCCATCCCCAACACCTCGGGAGCCCGCAACGTCGGCAACGGCAACGGCGGACAGTTCACCACCGGTGGCTGCGTCGCCAACGCCGACTGCCAGGAGGGCTGCTGCGCCAACAACGGCCAGGGCACCGGCATCTGCTCCGGCAGGGGCGCCGAGTTCCAGAACGGCAAGCAGGGCTGCGGCTTCGTCGACCCCAACCGCGCGGCCACCATCGCCGCCGCCAAGGCCCAGGTCGCGCGCCAGGGATTCTAAACAGTGTTTTTATTATTATTGAAGAAGATCGGAAGCAACAGGGAGGATGGAACACACTCGTCCAACCGAGGGAGCACAGAACTGCGAGGAGGATTGAGGGGTGTGGTCCTTTGGTTTCAGGACGGAGATGCGGGCCGAGGGGACACTGGCTCGCGGCCGTCGGGTCGTTGCGATAGTAATGACAATTGGATTCAAAGCTGAACATGGCGGATGCTGGTGACAATGTTTGTGACTGCTGCTGAATGACTATTGCATGCAACAAGCACAGCCCTGAAGCCACCTCGCTCCTTGTAGAGCTTGTATGCTCTTCGCCAGATAATTTTCGCAGGGCCCTGACAACATTTCCGAAATTTCAGGAGTCCCCAGGACCCACCACAGCCATGAAGCGATGGCTAATACCCAGCTGAGACGAACACCCAGAGCCGCAGCGCAGATATTAACCAACCAACCACCCGCCCCCGCTTCGACGCCCGAAGACTTGCCGAAGCCTTACAGGGCCAGCGCACTTAGCAGTCTCACTGGGCTGCTCCTCAGCTCCGCGTGTGAGCTGCCCGCCTTCCTCTTGCAGCCGCTTGCATCCGCGGCCGCTCGCGAATGCGGGGTTAGCGCCCCAACGGCGCGTTCTGGCGAGGGGCCTGCGTGACAGCCTTCTTCCCATCTAGGGAAATGTCAGCATCGACATTGGGCTGAGAAGAGGCTTGATAGATGCGGCTTCCCGTCTGCAGCCTGACACACTCAGCTGGCCGTTGGCGATCTCGGCTCCCGTATCGGGCGGTTTGTGTCACTTGGGAGAGCGGTTGATTCAACCCCCGCCTGCTCTTGTCCTAGAGCACGATCCTCCGAACCGATAGTTTGGGTGCTTGGAATGCCGCATTGAGGCACTCCGTGCTGTCTTCCGCATCTCATGTTGAGCTGAACTTGGGCAGAGAAGGATTTATTGATCTTGCCTCTTGGCTTCCTGGCGACGTCCTGTCATGTGCGGCAGATAGGTGCGGCTATCATAATGCCGTCGTCGACGTTGTAGGGCCATAGGCCAGAGGGAAAAGATAAGTTCGAGGTTGAAAAGGGGGTTTGCGTACCGCAAGCATAAATACAAACATCGCCGTCCTCAAAAATCCCAAGAACTGAGAAGCCAGCAGGCCCGACAGCGACAACCAAACAGCACACCTCTCACTGCAACCCCCAAGCCGGCACATCCTCCCCCTTTCAAGATGAAGCTCTCCACCCCGCTCGCCCTCCTCGCATCCGCTGCGGCCGCTAGCGGCGCCGCGCTCGAGAAGCGCGGCTACGGCCCGCCCGTCAGCAAGGGCGACGTGTGTCCGGCCGGCCAGGGCTTCTTCTTCAAGGCGGCGTCGGGCAAGTTCTACCAGATCGCCTGCGCCGTCGACGTCGTCGGTGGCACCCTCCTGGCCGTCTATCCCAAATTTTCGGGCATCGTGGACTGTGCTGCGTGAGTTCCCCCTCTCTTCCTCTGCCTTTCTCCATCCCTTACCCCCTTACTTCTGCTGCCGGTGCCTAGGCAGTCTTCCTTGCCGTCCAGCAGCTGACAAGCCGGTCTCCGCCTACCAGCCAATGCGACCTCTGGACCACCCAGGTGCCCAGTCGCCCGTGCTCCGCCGCAGCGTGGTACCGCTTCTCCCCGGACGGGGTGAATAACTGCTTTATCCGCGGCGGCTCCATCCAGGGGGCTGTGGAGAGCAAGGAGACGCTTAACGCCGTGTCTGCGCTGCTCTGAGGAGATGTTCGGCGTACTGTCTCGGAGGACTCGGGGCGAGCCTTTGTGAACATAACAGTTGATAGTCTTGCAAAATATGATGTATCTACCAGCCATACAACATCCAAAATCATCAGGGCAGCGGAATGCTCTGCGCGTGGCTGAAAAACATCCCCTCCGGATCGTACGCGGCCTTGATCCGCCTCAGCCTCTCAAAGTTGTCCCCGTAAAGTCGCCTGCTCCACTCGTCCATGCCCAGCTCCGTGTCGGGGTAATTCACAAACCCGCGCAGCGGCACCCCGGCGTCCCTCAGCGCCGCCTCGAACGGCAGCATCTGGCCCTTGAGGTACGCGGGCCCGTCGGCCGGGTACGCGTCGTTCCCCGCCGTCGGCCCGGCCGCGTTCCCGTCCCAGCGGACCAGCCACAGGTTCCGCGCGTGCGCGTACGCCGTCGACGCGTCCGTCAGGCCGCCGTCGCGCGCCGGCGCCCCGCCCCACAGGTCCAGGTAGCCGAAGCGGCTCAGGTCGGCGCTGCGGTTGAAGGCCAAGCCCGTGTGGAGCATCAGCGTGCGCGCCAGCCCGACCGTGAACGGGCGGTCGACCGTCGTGGCCAGGGCCTGCGTGTAAAAGGCCCGCCCGCCCAGGGCCCCGCCCCCGGGGAGGTTCATGCCCGCGCCCACGCCCGCGACCTCGACGTCCCAGAAGGGCAGCTCCGTGCTGCGCAGCGCCGCGACGGCGGGGACCGGGGCCGTCGAGCCGTCGGTGATGTTCGCCACTGCCTGGTCCAGCGCCGCGGTCAGGGGCCGCCCCACCACGGCGTCGAAATCGGCCGGGTCGCCGTACCAGAAGCCCTGGATCGTGTAGGGCGGCACCTCGAGTCGCCAGCGCGCCGCTAGCGCGTCGAGGCCGCCGCTGCCGTCGCTATCGCGCAGCGCGAACTCCTGCAGCGCCACCAGCGCCCGCGCGCCCGCGTCGAGGCCCACGTCGCCGAGCGAGATGGTAAAGTTGACGGCCGTCGCGAACGCCGGCACGTACGTCCGAGTCGTCATGCTCAGAATCACCCCGTACGACGGCGCGGCGCCCTTGACGGCGAACAGCAGGTCCGATCCTGGGCCCGCCGTCACCACCGTCCCGTCGTGCAGCATCAACTCGGCGCTGACAATATTATCCACGGGGGGCCCCCCACATGCGCGACGTGGTACCGAACCCGCCGCCAAACGACGAGCCCGCCAGGCCGACGTTCGCCCCGCGCACGTGCGGGAAGTGCCGCCCGTGGGCGTCCCACAGCTCCTTGGCGACCGGCCCCACGCGCGAGCCGCCGCCGAACGTGAGCAGCCCCGCGTCCGGGTCGAACGAGGTGCCGTTGAAGGCCGCCATGGACACGACCAGGTTGCCCGCGGCGCCGTAGCCGAAGCCCGCGAACGAGTGGGCCGCGCCGCGCGCCGTGACCTTCACCGACGCATTGCGCGCGCACGCCAGCGACAGGGCGAGCTGGCCCCGCGTCTCGGGGAGCGCGACGCACGCCGGCGAAGGGCGGAAGCGCCAGTTGAAGAGCGCCGTCTCGGCCGCCCAGGGCGCGGCGCCGTCGGCCTCGACGACGTTGGGCACGCCCGCGGCGGACAGGCAGGACCGCAGCGCGGCGGCCGGGGCGTCCTGGGCCAGGGTCGGGACTGTGAGGAGGGAGGCCGCCAGGGCGGCGAGGGCCGGGATGTTGGATGGGGGGAGCAGCTTCATGGCGCCGATCCGGGGACTGGCTGCCGTTCCCGGGTGGTATCTCGAGCAAGTTAATGGCAACAGGAAAGCGGAGAGTGGCTTTTTTATAGTGCCATGTTGTCATGGGCGCCAAGCTGACAAGACAAATTAAGCCTTGCATCCATCGTGGGCCTTGTCACACTACTCGGCGACGCTTTTCCTACTTGGGGTCATATTGCATGGTTCTTAGTAAGGTTAACCCTGCTCCTGGGCCCCAGAAAGTGGAATTGCCGCCAGGCAACAGGATTTCGACAATGATGGATCTGTGGCCTGGTTGACCACATCGAGTGGACTGGGCATGGGCAATGGAGTGGCCTTGATGGTGGCATTTGCAAGATTGCACGATGGAGTAGATACTTTTGCGGCGTCGGCCAGTGCTACGAAAACCAGAGTGCCGCAGAAAAGCCCGGAGAGCACGATATAAAGCGAAGAAACAAGAAGCAGACCGAAGAGGTTGTTTGATTGAAAAGATGAACCTCCATTCTTCCGCCGACGTCCCCCTTCCAGAAGGCGTAAAAACCAACGCGCGCAACAAAGAACGAAGCTTGTTCGTCAAGATTTGTATAGGTGTTATGGTCGTAATTCGTGAATTAGATCCTGTATCGGAAAGAAAAACGCCCAGGAATCGCTGGGGCGATCAAGAACTAGAAAGACAATCATGAGCTAGAAAAAAATAAGAGATTACCCCCCTGCCGAAGGCCCGAATACGATAGGGCGAACATGGCCATGGCCCTCCTTCTTGGCCTCGCCGGTCCGGATGTTCTGCGACGCCAGGTAGCGGACCACGTCCGGATCCTGGCTGGGCGGGACCTTCTTCCACTTGTCCTGGTCGACGACCTGGCTCGGCATGATTGGGTCCTCGCGGTTGGTGTCCGGGTGCACCTCGAAGCCCTGGTGCTCCGCCTCGCGGCTCAGATGCCCCTCCGACCTGCCGCCCTCGGCCGCCGTGCGCGACGCCTCGATGAGCGCGCCCAGGTCCACGGACCCGCCGCCCGACGCCATGGCGTGCACCTGCGCCGCGGCCGCGAGGGCCTGCCTCTGCGCCGCCGGCATGATCTGGATGCGGCTCTCGAGCGAGATGCCCGCGTGCGCGCCGCCCGGCTCTGCGTAGCCCGGGATGCCGTAGTCGATGGGCCGCCGCAGGACGGCGCCCGCGTGCAGGATCCAGTCCTCGAGCCGCCCGAGCTCCTCGTCGTCATCGCCTGCCGTGGCGGCGCTGATGCGGCTCTGGCGCCGCTCGAGGTTGTGCTTGCGCTTGACCTTGCTGAACCGGGAGGGGACCAGGAGCATAGCCGCCGGCTTGAAAAAGCGCAGGACCCGGCCCAGGACCCGGAATGCGCTCTCGACGTAGTGGTCGGGCACGCAGCGCAGCGCCGCGCCGAGCGGGATGGGCATGACGCCAAATAGCAGCGACCATCCCCACTGCGGGCCGTCCAAGGGCACCGTGTCGAACGCCTCGCCGCCCTTCCAGATGATGACCATCTGGCCTGCAATGGTGGCGAGCTGGACCCCCAGGAAGAAGGGGTTGCGCAGCACACCCTGGTACCAGATGTTGAGCTTGTTGTCGACGCGGCGGCAGTTGTGCTCTGTTTGGGAAACAATCAGTAAAGTGTCAAGTAAGAGAACATGGCATTAGTCGCATCAGGATGGGTACGTACGGTTGAAAAGCTGGAACATGATGTAGGTGTTGAACACCATGGTTTGGGTGAAGATGTCGCTCTCGACGTAGTGAAGCGTGAAGATGACAATGAGCTGGTACAGGGCCTGGCCAAGGATCATCTTCCACATGGTGATGCTGACCAGAGGCGCCCGGCGCGGCTGCGGCTTGCGCTTCAAAAAATCCTCCGACGGCCAGTCGGTGGCGAGGCCGACCGATGCAAAGATGTCCATGATGAGGTTCATCCACAGCAGCTGCACGACTTTGAAGACGTTGTCGCCAGCAAGCTCCGACACCACGGTCAGGGTACCGGCGGTGATGTTGATGGTGAACTGGAACTGCAGGAACTTGCGAACGGCGTCGTTGACGGTTCGGCCCCAGAGGAGCGCTTTCACAATGGATTTAAAGTTGTCATCAAGAAGGATGATGGACGCCGCCTCTTTGGCCACCTCGGTGCCTTGGACACCCATGGCAAAGCCGACATCGGCAGCTTTCAGGGCCAGGGCGTCGTTGGTGCCGTCGCCAGTCACGGCCACGGTCTCGTGCATCTTTTTGAGGTGCGACACAAGGGTCAGCTTGTCTTCCGGGCTCGATCTCGCGAGCACCTGAAGCCTCGGGATGATGATGTCCATCTGCATAGGGGTGAGTCGTCGGAAGGTCGGGCCATCCATGGCCACGCCGCCGGCCGTGTAGATGCCGCATTCCGACGCGATAGCCTTGGCCGTCAGGAAGTTGTCGCCAGTGACCATGCGAACAAGCACGCCGGCCTCCTGGCACTGCCGCACCGAGTCGATGACCTCGGGGCGGAGCGGGTCCTTGATGCCGAAGATGCAGGTCCACGTTAGCCCCGAGGTCCTGAAGAGCTCACGGAAGCGGACCGAGGTCGGATCCTTGGGGTCGCGGAAGATCTCGCTGGGGTCCTTGAAGTCGCGGTAGGCCATGGCGACGGGGCGGAGCATCTGGACAGCGTAAGAGCAGACAGTCTCTCGGAGCTCCGCCCGCGTCTCTTCGGGGAGCTCCTCTGCTGTCAGTCCGCTCCCGCCCTGCTCCTTGCTGCCGGTCGGGTCGGTGAGGATCGTCTTGCAGCGCCCGAGCACCACCTCTGCGGCGCCCTTGACAAACATGCGGAATCCTCGGTCGTTCGGCAGCTGCACCATGACAGCCATCCACTTGTTGGACGCATCAAAGGGCAGGAGGTCGACAATGTTGGCGTTTTCACGCTCCTCGTTGACCGGGCCCATGCCCAGGTAGCTGCGCGCAAAGTCAAGCAGGGCCGTCTCGGTGCTCATGCCCACGTACTTGCCATCGCCGTCCTCGAACGCCGTCGAGTTGAGCGCAATGCCGTCCTTGATCAGGGCCCCGGCCTCGGTCGTGAGCGACTGCATCAGCCCCATCGGACCCGTGTCTCTGCTCGCAGGCGGCGAAGCCACGGCGGCAGCAGGCGTCTCAGTGGATTTCCTCATGGCTTTCTTTTCCGTCTCATCGACTTCCTCCCCCGACGCGCTTGCCTGGCTGTTGGGGACATTCCCCAGACTGCCAGGGGAGGTGCCCACGACGGCGTCCCCAAAACTGTCCGACATTCCGATATGGCCCGCAACAACCGTCATTTTATTTTGCGTCAGGGTTCCCGTCTTGTCGGAGCAGATGCATGTAGCGTTACCCATGACCTCGCAGGATCTGATCATGCGCACGAGGTTGTTATCCTGCAACATTCTCGACGTAGCAAACGCGAGAGCGAGGGTGACGGCCAGAGCCAGCCCCTCGGGGACCGTCACGACAATGACGGTGACTGCGAGGATCAAGGTCTTGAAAAAGGTCATCGCGTTCTCGGATGGCGTTTTTAGAGGATTTTGTTTTGTCACATTGACCACGAAGCGGATGAACAAAATGAGGAAGAAGATGAAACCAGCAATCACTCCAAACGTGATGAGCTGTTTCGCCAGCTTCCCCAGCTTCTGCTGCAGCGGTGTCGGCTCGACGTCGTTTTGAACCAGATGAAGCGTGCGGCCGAAAGTGGAGTTGACGCCTACGGAAATGACGAGGTAGCTGCCGACGCCGCCGTTGACGGTGGTGCCGCTGAGGATGAAGGGGTCAGACGCGGACACGCGATGCACCGCCGACTGCTTGAGGCTGGCGATGCCGCTCACCTCCTCGCCCTTGCCCTGCGCGACCGCCGATTTATGCACTAGATCCGACTCGCCTGACAGCGACGATTCGTCCACCTGGATGCCAGAGCCGCGGATAAGCACGCCGTCAACGGCCACGACGTCGCCAGTTTCGATGTGCATGACGTCGCCGACGAGCAGGTCGTAGATCGAGATGTTCTGTGTCTTGCCGGACCGTATGACCTTAACATCTCGCTGCTCCTTCCGCGCGGTCAGCTTGGCAAACTTCGCGTTCTTGCGCCAGTCGGTCGTGGCGGTCGCGAAAACGATGACAACAATGGCCACCACGACGGTAACGCCGTCGACCCACTGGATCTTGGGCTCATCGTTGCTGGAGGATACCGTCTCATAGATGCCCAGGGCCAGCGAGATGGTGGCGCTAACGGTGAGGAGGAACATGAGCTTGTCGTTGAAGGCAATCCAGGCCAGCTGCAAGAAGGACTTTTGCTTGCGCCGCGGCACCCTGTTCTCGCCAAAGATGCGCCGGCGGTCGGTGAAACCTTTCTGTTCGGCGCCAAACTCTAGCTTGAAGGCGGGTGCGAGCTCGTGTCCCTTCTTTCCGTCACTCGGGAGTGGCATGGTTTTGGGCTTCCGGTGCTCCTTACCCGCCGCAACGGCCTCTTCAAAGGCGACGGTGTCATCGAAGCTGGCTTCGTCGACGCTGAGGCCGGCGGCGAGATCGGTGCGCAGCCCCGCGGCCAGGCCGTGCAGTCCGCCGAAGGCATCGAGCGCGGCAATAGTGCGGGCGGTAGCTAGCTTGTTTAGCTGGGCCGGCGTGAAGGCGAAGCGGTTGTTGGGCACAGGATGGCTGTCGGTCAGGTCGAGTTCGTCGGGTTTGGTCGGGGTGCTGCTTTTGGGCGGTGTGGTGTTCTCGGCGAATGTAATAGACGTCGGGGACGCCATCCCCGTTGGGGACGCGGACCTTGTCTCATGGTCGGCCATCGGCGTGCGCAAAGCAAGCGAGGTCCGTCGCCGAGAGGTGGCGGGCAAGATTCAGCCGTGCTTCCGATACAGTGCGGGCAACCGCGTCAGGAGGATCCAAAGCCCAATGACGCCGCACAAAGCGGACTAGTGGACAGAAGAACTCGGGGCAGTGTCGGGCAGTTTCTTGTCACACGTAGTGGCCTCTTGGCTCGTACAAGAACTAATTCGTGTGCTCTGGTCTCTGCAGCCTACGTTCTAGGGAGAACCCGCCTGGAAGCGTGGTGTTCCGGCGGCTGGGACTGGTGGCTGGGACAAAGCGGTGGAACGGCGACCCGCGTCTGGAGCGGTGAGCCGGGTGCCAATCGGGGCTGGTCCGAGGTCGAACAAAGGTCTGGGCCGGCCGGAGTCTGGATGCTGGGGTCGGGCCTGTGCTGCTGGTTTACGGCACCACAAGAAGCAGCAGCCAGATGGCAGGAACGAGAGAATGGGACAAAAAAGGAAAGGAGGAACCCGGGGTGGGGACGGGACAAAAAAGAAAGAAAGGGAGATAATAAAGGGAAGGCTGGGCGCTGGGCGGCCAACAGTGCCAACGAAGAGCAAAAAATCACCAGTCCGCCGAGCAGCAGGGGTGTCGACCGCCCTGGGGCCGACCGACGTCCTTGGCGGAAGCGTCATCAAGCCGTGAATGGCCGGACCGCCAGCCAACTGGGCATCGCCAAGCGGAGGCGGGCCCGCATGTCTGGGCGTGGAGGGCTGCGGGCTGCGCTGTGCTCACGTGGCCACCTCCTGCTCGCCCAGCCTGCCCGCCCGCCCTCGGTCGGGCGCTGGGTTTCCCCACGATTGAGGCTCAGCCATTCAACCGAGAGGCTGAGGCCATGCGCCGGGGCACATGAGCAGCATTGGGGGGCATGTTGTGTGTTTTACAAGAGGTGGTGGCAGCACTCTCGTGTGCTCCGCCCGATGGATGGAATACAATTTTTTCGTGTTCAAATACTGTGAAGCGGGCGGCACAACCAAAGTGGCTTGGCCCAGTACTGTGGAGCACGCCGTTCAATTAGCGTTGGCTCGTGGTTGCAACACCAAAATCCAAAATGCCCGTTGACCCCTGTCACCAAATTTGAGGTGCGGGGTCCCGAACTCAGGTAAGCGGAAGGCCTAGCCGGGCTCCAAATCCAGTCAGGGTCAGCCACTGACATCATTTTTCGGCCCGGGCCCATCCTCCACCAGAGCCCAAGCACTTTCCCTGCCGTCTCCCCTGATCGGCTCGAGGCTATCTCGAACACAAAATACCACAGGAGCTATGGCCCGGATCTGGGGTTCATCACAACGGCAGTCCTAGCCGTACTGTCGTCCTCGCTGCAACCTCACCAAGCAGACATGTCCGTCTCATGAACCGTGCTGTCGCCTCAGCTCGCAGCTCGACAAGCCGTTCCTCACCCACCGAATCGGGGACAAGAACGCCACTGTGGAGCTCAGGTCAAGCTTCCGAGAGCCCTGCATCCTCGTCCATGCAATACCATTCCTGCCAGTGCTTCAGCAATTTCCAATCCTTTTCTGAGGAACAAAGACGCTCTTCTCGTATGGGAACGAGCCTGCATATCGTGCGGTGCCAGGGAGCGGCGGGTTGGGGGGCTGCCGCTTTGGGACTTGCTTTAGTGGCGGGCCCCATCGTTGCCCCGAGCCAGTAAGGAGAGGCTACATGGAGGTGGCAAGCCGATGGCCGCATAGAGGTAACAAGTGTTGCTTGACCGCGCTGTGGATTTGGCCGTCACGGCGGAATGCGATGCACAGGCTTTGGATGGTATCAGATCAATGTAGCAGTTAAATACAAGATACCCGGTGAGAGCGGCATGGCTGGTGGGCTGTGTGCTTTGGTGCGATACAATTCCTTGTAGCGTCCTAAACCTCCCTCCTACCACTAGCTCCGGCTGCAGGCGAGATGGCTACGCAGCCGATCCCCAACACGCCAGGCCCCCACGTACATGTATGCAAGAGTTGCCGACCGTGTCGCACGTTAAAGGTGAGATGGAGTGTCACCAGAGGAGGCCCCGGAATCAGGAGCAAACTGTGGATCCCGGGTCCGAAGAGCTCCATCACTTTTGTCATCACGCCGATAACGTTATGTGTGAGGCCGAGGACATATGACTTTGAATTGTCAGCATGGGAAGCATGGTACAAAGTGAGGAATCCAAGTATATAAAAGCACCGTTGACCAGCATACGGAAAAAAAGTATAAACCATGCAGCATAAAAGAATTTCCCAAGTCATCTACACCATTCCTTAGCATACGTTTCATACTTGGCATACCTCTTTGATCTTCTCCTCTGCCAACCGGAACCATGGTCAAGATTGCTATTGCTGGCGCGAGCGGCCGTATGTCAACCTTTGCGTGTGCAAAAGACTCACGTTATGGGTGGTCCGGTGGAGACATAGACTAACATGTTTAAACAGAGCTCGCCCGGGAGATAATCGACGAGTTTGTCGCAACAGGGAGGCATGAAATCATAGGCTTGTTGCGCAAGGTATGCCATCCATGCGGCCGCCGGCCCCTGAGATTCACTTTCTGCCCGCCCAGCTAACACCACCCACAGGACCCCTCCAACCTCCCCAGCCTCCCGGGCGTGACCTGGGTCCAGACAAAGTACGACGACAAGGCCGAGCTCGTGCGACTCCTGGCCGGCGTCAACACTGTCATCTGCTTCTTCGTCGTCCACACGGATGAGGGCGCGCGGAGCCAGAAGCTGCTCATCGACGCCGCCGTCGAGGCCGGCGTGCCGCGCTACATCCCGAGCGAGTGGAGCGCGGGCGCGTCGCTCGGGAGGCCCAGCAGCGCCGCCCTGATGCCGCACTACGACAACAAGCTGCTGGTGCGCGACTACCTGGCCGCCCTCAACAACAACAACAACAATAATAATAGCGGTACCGGCGGCGGCAAAAAGGTGCTCGAGTACACGCTGCTGTGGCCGGGCCTGTTCCTCAACTACCTGGGCGCGCCGCGCAAGACGACGGCGCACGTCAGCACCTGGGAGTTCCTCATCAGCATGGACAAGGGCGTCGCGCTCGCCGTCGAGGGCCACGCCGACGCCCGCGTCGCCTTCACCACCATCGCCGACCTGCGCGCCGCCGTGGTGCGCATCATCGAGCACGAGGGCGAGTGGCCCGTCAACGGCGGGATCCGCGGCGATGCCATGCGGTATGCGGACCTGCTGGAGCTGGCGGGCCGCATCCGCGGCGCCCCCCTCGAGACCTCGTGGCTTAGGAAGGAGGTCCTGCAGGCCGGGAAGCTGGAGGCCGGGTGGGCGCCCAAGGTCGAGCACCCCTCCCTCGATGCCAACTTTACAGACGAGGCTATGGAGCAGATGTCTGCCGGCATCATGCTCGCCGTCGCGGCCGGCGCGTGGGACACGTCGGACGAGTGGAACAGGCTGCTTCCGGACATGAAGTTCACCGGGATCGAAGATTTCCTCACGCCGCTGTTCAAGAGTGAACAGTAATGTTAAGGGGGGCTGGGCTTGTGGGGACTTGCGTTGGTGGTGGGCATATCCGATCTGGGTATTCTGGGGATCGCCGGTCTTGGCTCTACACGATATCTTGCAGCCTGCATGGATGGGCGGCGACGACAGCTGTATTCGTTACCCACCCAACTGCCAGCTCCAATCACATTTGATCAAGGTACCCTTCTGGCTGCGCGGTTATTGCACTCTTGATTGTCCATTGCAACCCACAACGGGTCGCCATCAGTGGGCCTTAATCAGCGTACGGGGACGGCCAAGGCAGACCAGATCCCGGGTGGCGGTATACCGGTGTAGAGCACATGGAAGCTGGGATGAGATCAGGGGAAATATTGCTTATTATCTCGATCTGCGCAGCCGCTAGATCTGATAGAATTGCCGTTCTCTTTCAACACAGTCTTAGAACCAGCAGCGGCAAGAAGTGAGCCTGGCAGTCCAGCTGAAGAAGTTAGAATGACAACCGCCCGCTCCCAGAAGACAAACTACGCTCTCCCACTGCAGGGAAGGACTGCATTGGTGACCGGTGCCTCCAAGGGGATCGGCGTCGGCATCGCGCTCGAACTCGCGAGACAGGGAGCCAATGTATGCGGGCCAGTCCTGCGACATTACCAACAACAGCTTGTGCAAGCCCGGTACTGACGGACCCCCATCACAGGTCATCATGGGCTACTCGACAGAGTCAAGCGCCGCCAAAATAGAGGAGCTCAAGCGCGAGATTACGGCACTCCCCCACAAGCCCAGAGCCTACGGCCTCCGAGGGGATGTGGGCGCGCCCGACGGCCCGGCACAGATGGTGGCGGAGCTCGCGCGGGAGATTACCTGGTCTGACTCGGGCGGCTTCGGGCTTGACATTCTGGTAAACAACGCCGCCGTCGCGCCCAACGTGCCCGTGGCCGACACGACGCCCGAGTTCTTCGACGGCGTTTACAGCGTTAACCTGCGCGGGCCCGTGGCGCTCGTGCACGCGTTGCTGCCCTATATCCACCGCCCGGGCGGGCGCGGGCGCATAATCAGCATATCGTCCATCGCGTCCCGCGCCGGCCTCCCAGGCTTGTCGGCGTACGGCGCCTGCAAGGGCGGGCTCGAGGCCGCGACCAGGGCTTGGGCGACGGAGCTCGGCGAGCACGGGACGACGGCCAACGCCGTCAGCCTCGGCCCGATAGACACCCGCATGTCGCAGGCTCAGCCCGGGGGGCTTTTGGCGGATTTGCTGGCTCAAACACTGCTGCAGAATCGATTCGGCACTGTCGAGGAGGTCGCCACCACGGTGGCATGGCTGGCCAGCCCGGCTGCGTCGTGGATCACTGGGCAGACCATCTGCGCCAGTGGAGGGCTTCTTTACCGTTGAGGAGATCCCTGGAGGTGGCGAGATCTTGAGACCTGGATAGCGGAGCATATATAGCGCACAAAGAGGAAATGATCGCTGAGATTGGGCATTATTGTGAGACCTCGACAGGTCGTCGGCGCTGCTGTAATTGATAAAGAGCAACAATATTAGAAAACGACCACGGCCACCAGGGCCGCGCCTCCAAAGACAAAGGACAGCCTACACGTCGACGCGGCCGCGCCTCCCCTCCAAGACGCGCCCTCGACGGGGCTCGCAACCATGTCCTTGAACTCGCCGATGACGTTGCCGCGGGGCCAGTACTCGCAGACGAGGTACCAGCCCTTGGTGCCGCACAGCCGCCTCCCGCAGCCGACGTCGCTCGTGTTGCGCCAGACGAGCTGCGTGAAGTGGCCCGTCTCCTCGCTGAAGTCGGCCTTTTCGAAGTCGTAGCGCTCGCGCTCGTCGCCCCAGCCCTCGACGGCGGAGCGCGCTGAGGGGTAGCCGATGGCGAGGTTCTCGCCGTAGGGGCCGCCCGAATGCTCAAACTCGCACTTGTCCGTCACCTCCTTGGTGAGGTAGTCGTCGGCGAAGCGCGCGAGCGTGTCGTTCCACGTCACGTTGGCGGCGCCGTAGTCGCGGCGGTAGGCGTTGGTGCTGTTGAGCACGGCCGACGTGAACTGGTCGCGCGAGACGTACTCTGGAGCGTCGGAGGGTATAGTGGGTGCTGCCGTCACGGTGACAACCTGCACGTCTCGCTGGGTGGCGGGGGATGGCGGGGACGCGCTGGCGTGGTGAAGAAGGACGACGGCCAAGATGAGCCAAATAGGGGATGAAAGAGGTTTTGGCATTTTGCTCAATCCAAACGTGGGAGTCCAACAGTCGCAGGGATTTCAACTGAACCATCCAAGACACGATGATGCAACGAAAAAACACCGGTTCGATGTGATCATTTCGGGCTGTTTTTGGGAAATGCCCAACGCTCGATGGGCAAAGACAGCAGCCGCGAGGGCCATGCTTTTGTGGAATGCGCCATAGTCGAGAGACAGGCAAAAATCAAGGAATGAACGTCCCAAGACTTTGCCGTCCCGTGGCCTCGATTGGACGTCAAGAAGGCTGGCTTGGCTGGCGACTTCATCTTTGTGGTGTTGTTTGGCAAAGAACAGCCAGGAATTTGAAGGCCATGACGTAAATAGCACTGGGAAGGGGGCAGGCGCTTGTCGACCAGGTCGCCGAGCCTTCTGAGCGAATCGAATTGTGCAGTCAACCCCTCCACGAGAAAGGGGACCGCCCCACAAGCACCTCAGCGGCGACTTCCATTCTCGGTGCAAATACCCTCCAGTGTAACCTCCGCGTTTGGCTGACGCGCAGTAAAGCAGCTACCGTCCGTGATGCGCCGTGCGCCGAGGGGGACCTCGGATCTGGATACCCAGATTGATTTTCTGGCGCGTTAGGTTGGCAGACGCAGCGGAGATGCGCTATATGCGCGCTTTGGGTGACGTTGAGACTGCATGAGCGCTCGAGCCGGTTGATGCGCTTCGTGTGGAAGATACAGCTTGTGTCGCAGATAGAGGGGGTGGAAATGTGCGAATGCGAACGCCTCCTTTCGATTTTCAGAGTGGGTAGACGTTGCCAACGGACAACGTCTCTCTCCACCCGAATCTCGTATCGCAGACAGAACCGCCTCGAAAAGTCCACGACGTCAAGTAAGTTCAAGACGTGAAGTAACCCAGATCCAGCTGCTGCTACCAAAACGATGCTCGTGGACGCACTCGGACATTTTCAAGCAAGGGCGAGCGGCGACAATGGTGTGGAACAGACCCAGGGGTTGTATCGTGGTGGGGGCTCCAGGTGCTGCCAGAGCAGTGGAGATGGGGAAAAGGCAGAGCGTTGAGATTTCCCAAAACGTCCATATGAAACAGAAAGAAGACGTTTCTTCCCTTGCCAACACAACTGGCGTGAAGTGACAACCCCCCATTAAACTGCCCAGCCCCCGCTACCCAGCTGGCACTGGCCTGGATCCTGTCTTCCCCTGTTCCAGAACTTTGACTTGCAGCATTCATGCGCCGCCTGTCGTTTCCCACGCCTGTTTGGTGATCACCCTCTGTTTGCTGGCAAACGCCTTTGGCCAACCACTACCTGGCAGTAGTCATCCCGGGCACACAACGCTGGCGTTTATGTTCCGATTTGCACCATGCGGTTCGCGCTTACGATCATAGCCTTCACCTTTTCGGCGCTGTCGACCTGCAGCGCAAACCCCATCGCCGCCGGGGCGCGCCAGCTCGCCAGGTCCAGCCCACCACCAGTCGATGCCATCCCAACGACACTGAGCGACCTCGGCGGCGCCGAGCCGGAAGCGCCCGTCGCCCACACCCCGCCGCTGCAGCGCCACCACCGCAGGGACGAGGCGCCGGCGCCCGAGCCGGCTCCCGAGCCCCAGTCGGAGGCGGCTCCCGAGCCCCAGTCGGAGGCGGCTCCCGAGCCCCAGTCGGAGGCGGCTCCCGAGCCCCAGTCGGAGGCGGCTCCCGAGCCCCAGTCGGAGGCGGCTCCCGAGCCCCAGCCGGAGGCGCCTCCCGCGCCCGTCGAAAACGTCTCGCAGGAGGAGCGGCGGCCGGCCAACACGGTGCCGTCCAAGATCAACGGCGACGCCAAGGTCCGCATGACGCTCTTCACGGGCCCCGGCTGCTCGGGCGGCGTCCTCGCCAACGTCTCCATCACGTACGACAAGCAGATACTCGACCGCAACTTCACGTGGAACAGCTACAGGCTCGACCGGTCGCTGCGCGCAGACGAGCAGCTCGACTTCAGCCGCCTCCAGAACAACGACCCGTGCGGCCAGTTCATTTCGCTCCGCCGCGGCACGGCCGGCACACCGCCGCCGCCGGACTGCGTCAAGGACGTGTCCAACTTCAACTGCTTCCGGCTTTGGACGCTTTAATCGGAGGGGAGGCGGCGAGTTCCGCAGGGTCGGGTCGAATGGTCTAATCAACGCCACTCCGTTTTCATAGTGGAATCGGACGTGCATGCATGTTTTACCTGTAACGTAGAACTCATCCATGAGCCATTTACCTGTGGGGATTTTCTAGTTCTAGTACTGTAATTATTACTATTTTGCATGGCGCACACCTGAGCAAAGACGGAAAACTCTAGGGGCTCCAAACCTGACTTGGCGGCCTTTTAGCTGTTGTATCTTGATATAAGCGACCACCAAATTGTTTGATGGTGGCACATTCTAATGGCGGCGCTCACTTGCCGGCACCACATTGGCGATCTGCACAAGTGCCGCGCTAGTGTCAGTCGAGATGGGCGCATGGCATTTTCAGACGTGTTTCGATCCAACTGGGTACTCGGCCGTCTACAGTAAAGTCTCCGACTGGAACATTGATTCCAAGGCTTTCCACACAAATGCCCGAGAATGTGCGGTTACGCCTTCTGGTCGTAGCTGGCCGCGGTGCATTGGGTGCTCCGTGGACTCGAAGGCGGCGCACTCGTTGTGCGGCTCGCATTAGACAACTGGCGGAAACGACAGACTCATCCAATAGGTTCTCGAGGAACTGCGTGTGCAACGGCTCTGGAAGTTATGGTATTATCCCGACGCGCCATTCTGATAGAGAAAAAGTATACGTCATTGAGGAGAGGAGCGAAAACAAGCCCATTCCCTGGACTCGAGAGGACGGGCGGCTGGGAGGGAGCCGAAAGGGGTAGTCCCGTAGATCACGTGCTGTCGCGACCATTGACAGGGGGGTGTGTCTCGGATTTCGTCATTACTCCGAGGGAGCGATCCCACGTCGACCGAGCTTCGATGATCGCCAGTTCCATTCCTTGCTGTTGCTTTTCTGCCTGAGCATCTTGCATACCACAGCCATGAAAATGCTGCGACCGCCTTGAGTCCTTAAAATTTGGTTGCACCCCATCTTCAACTATTTCTTTAGTATCATGGCGGGCGCCAGGACAAATGGACGCCCGCCTGTCGGCCGGCGCACCACGCGCTCCCAAGCTCAGCCCCCCGCGGCCGCCGGCAGCAGCAGGAAGAAGGCCGTCCCCCGCGAATATCGCCATTTGCTGCGCGAGGCCGGTGCTGCGCCGTCCTCGCCATCACGTCTCGCCGAACCCGAAGACGGCGAGCCTCCTGCGAAGCGACCACGTCGGCCCGGACAAAGGGACGCCACCCGAGCACAGCTCGCCACGCCGAAAGAGCCTACCGCCCCTACTGTCAAGCCCAGCGCCAAGGTAGCGGAGGCGAGCGAGCCGACCGACGACGCCGACGAGGACGAGGACGAGGACATCGAGTTCGAGGACGTGGCTCTGCCGGAACCGACGATTCAGACGACATACCAGGACTCAGAAGACGACGACGACGACGATGATGTTGGTTTCGAAGATGTCGACTTTGGCGCGTTACCAGCGGACGCCCCAGAAGCCGCGACCTTGGAGCTAGATCTCTCTACACATCGCGCTGCCGCCGCCGCCGAGGCCATCAAGAGGAGGGGCGCGCCCAAGCGCAAACCCATCAGCCGGACCGAGAAGGAGCGGAGGGTCGAGGTGCACAAACTACATATTTGCTGCTTGCTGGTGCATGCCGCGCGTAGGAATCGCTGGTGCGACGACGCCCAGGTGCAGAGCGCCCTGCGCCCCTTGTTGCCCGACAAGGTGGTCGACATGTTGAAGCCCCGCAGTGGACTTACACAGTTCGGCCGCTCCGAATCCCTCAAAGACGGCTTGGTCAAGGCCCGCGGCATCTTTCAGTCCGCCTTCAACATCACAGAACGTGGATTGCGTAGGGCGCTGTGGGCCGAGGAGCCGTCACATCTCGAAGATTACCAGGCACCAGAAGACTTGGATTCGGCCCTGGACAAGACAGAATTTCGGAAATCGGCAAAGTACCTTGATGGCTCCCGCGACGTGGGCGCACAGCTATTCTGCGCCCTCCTTAGGTCCGTCGGCGTCGAGACGCGTCTCGTTTGCTCGCTCCAGCCCTTGTCCTTCGTCTCGAGCACCCCGACACTTCAGAAGCCACGCCTCAAAAAGGCCGAGGCGCCCAAGCGTAGGATGCCCAACTACGATTCGTACAAATACGTGCCTCCATCGGGCGCGATACAGAGCTCATCGCTCGTTGCACGCCGGCTGGGGCACCCCAACGCTGCCGCCTACGTGGTACCGCCACTTGCCCAGCAGTCCCTCTCCGCCGCTGTCACAAAAGAACAGGGGCGTAAACCCGTCACGGGCGAGTCGGCATTCCCTGTGTACTGGGTCGAGGTGCTTGACGAGGCACACCAGAAATGGCAGCCCGTCGACCCCATAGTGACTTGCTCGCAGGCAAGGCCTGCAAAGCTAGAGCCTCCCCTAACGGATCGGCTCAACTGTCTCTGCTATGCCGTCTCGTTCGCATCCGACGGCACGGCTAGGGATGTGACGCGCCGCTACGCAAAGGCATACACGTCCAAGACCCGCAGGATGCGCGTTGACACTCTGCCCGTTCCGACTTCATCCGCTTCCCTGGCGGCCATAGCAGCTGGACTAACGGGCGAAGAGTGGTACGCGCGCGCCCTGAGCTTCTTTGCGCGCCCGCTCGGGATTGTTACGGACCTGGACCGCAGCGAAGAGGCGGAGCTGGCGACCACGGCTGGGCGGGAGCCCATGCCTCGCAACGTGGCCGACTTCAAGGGCCACCCAACACACGCACTCGAGCGCCACCTCAAGCGCAACGAGGTCCTCATCCCTGGGGCCAAGTCTTCTGGGACTGTGGGCGTGGGAGGTGCCGGCGGCGGTCGTGGCAAGGGGAAACAGCAGCGGGTCGAGCGCATCTACAGACGGCGTGATGTGCGCATCGCCTGGTCTGAGGAAAAGTGGTACCGCATGGGCCGCGTGGTTAGACCTGGCGAAGTCCCCGTCAAGCATATTCCTCGACGGCCGAAGCCTAAGAGCAAAAGCAGTTATTTCGAAAATCGGGGCGGCGACGAGCCGGATGAGGACGATGATGTAGATGAAGATCCCGTCCTCGGGCCTTCCTCCGGCAGCACTGCCGCTGGAGTTCCAATATTTACCGAAGACCAGACAGACCCCTACGAACCCCCGCTGGTCGTGAACGGCCATGTGCCCAAGAACAAGTTTGGCAACGTGGAGGTGTTCGTGCCGTCCATGGTGCCCCGAGGCGGCGTCCACTTGACAGACGAGCTCGCTGCTCGGGCGGCGTTTGTGCTTGGCGTGGACTACGCGCCCGCCCTGACGGGCTTCGAGTTCCGCGACCGCAAGGGCACGGCGGTGCTGAGGGGCGTCGTGGTGCCGGCCGAGTGCGAGGAGGCGGTCCGGCTGGTAGCGGCGACGCTGGGCGACCTCGAGGCCGAGGCCGAGGAGGCGCGGCGCAACCGCGCGCTGCTGCGCCTGTGGAGCCGCTTCCTAAAGGTGCTGCGGCTCGACGAGATGATTGGGCGGAGTATGGGGCTGGGCCCGAGTGGTAGCAGTAGCGCGAAGCCGATGTTGGAGGCTGCGGCTGCGGATGATGGGCAGGAGGAGGCTGATGAGGTCGACGATGAACAGGCGGGGCGGGATGATGGGATGGAGGATGGAGGTGACGGCGGGAACGGGATTGCGGACGATGTCGAGGACGACGACGACACAGGCGGCGGGTTCGTGGCTCACAACGACTACGGCGACGACGACGATATGGGCGGTGGATTTATGGTTGAATAGAAAGCGATGCGTCCTTTTCTTGGCGATACCTGTCCCCCTGTCCCCCTGTCCCTCCCTTCAGCCCACGCATGCAGAATGTCCTTTTCTGGACCCAAATGCGAGGAATGACATGTTGGACCATGCTTGTCGACACATTCACTCAAAACGAACAAGCAATTTCTTGGCCAATCCCCACGGCCTCTGACTGGGCTTTTTTGCTTCTCAGTCGCACACAAGGACGTCTTTGTTTGGGGCAGATATTTTTAGTCTCGTAGTGGTTTCCATCCATTGACTGGCTGGTCCAGGCCATATAACAAAGCAACTCCTCCTCGGCCGGTGGACGTCAGGTTCGGGTATATGACACACTATTAGCCCTCTCTTCGACGATCAGTGTCGATCCGTCCCGATACATTTCTAAACGAAAGCATCACTCTGGAAGTGAAACAGGACCTACTACTATTTAATCACCGACGCAATAACCAACGCACGAACTAACTACATACCGACTGCCGGCTCGAACACAAAGAGCATGACAAAAATCTCATCCTATGCACTCATAGGCATTCTAGCCTATGCCAACACCTTCGCCAGCGCTGTTTTCACCGACAAGGCCCAGATTTGGAGGCTCGCGGGAGGTCCCACAAACAACGTCCTGGTGACCAAGTGGCAACGTCCCGGGGGCGGCAGTGAGGATGTCGCCGGCGCGACCGTCGACCTCAACCTCTGTTTGGGAAATTTCGATGGCAGGCTGGCCTGGGCCAAGGAGTGAGTCTTGTCGTCCTGCGATCTTTTTCTAGTTTCCTTGCTGTAATTGCCCGTAACTGACCATAAATTCCGTGTTGCCTGCAAAAAGGGGCATGGCCATGAACACCTGTGAATGCTCCCTCACATCGCGGCTGCTGCCAGGCGGCGATCCCAAGACTGCCGGCTTCAGCTCGGTCGATCCGTCAAACGACCAGCTCGAGCTCTCGGACTACCAGCCCGGCCAGCCCGGCAAGGACGCGACCAAGGCGGTCCTGTCCTGCAAGTGCGGCGCAGGCCCGGGGCCAGCAGACGCCAGCATTGATCTTGGTAAGATGTCCCTGTTTCCGCGTGCTACCATCAAAGTTATGTCTATGAGCTGCTAACATTACATTCCACGATGATAAACAGACGAGCGAATCGAGCTCAAGGACGGCAAGCTCTTCTGCGTCCCCGCGCCGAACGCCGGAGCCGGCAAGCGCCACCAGCGCCGGAACGCCGCCCCCCTACACACGAGGCGGTCTGTGACCTCCCAGTCGGTGAGGACGTTGACGTTGACGCACGACGAGGAGTTCTTCCAGCAGACGACAACGGCCCCGGCCACGTCCACGGAGCCCGCGGGGCTAATGGACCTGCTGAACGCGGGGTGCAAGAAAATCCTCGTCAAGGTGAATATCCCGGGCAAGTCGATACTGGAGGCGCACTGCCCCATCAAGACGCCGCACGGGAGCTACCCCATATACGCGCGCTACCAGCTCGACCTGGACAAGTGTATCGTCAACAACGGCGGTGTCGCCGAGTTCCGGCACCGGTAAGGACCTACCCACCCACCTATCCAATCCATCCCATCAGTCCCTGGGCATGTGTTTTGGTCTAGGTTGTTTGCTGACTTCTCCAAACAGGGGCATGGGCGGATCCAGCTGCACCTTCACCAACACGACCGACGCGGTCGAGTGGGCCTACGACTGCGGCGGCACCCCGGGCACGCTCAAAATCGCCGGCAGGTTCACCCTTGACCAGCGCAACAACACCCTCAGCTGCGCCGACGACCTCTGGGCCAAGGGCCAGGTGCCCCTCGACTGGGCCTGCAAGGACCTGAGGCTCTCGGACGACGTGCCCGGCGCCCTCCTCGCCAGCTGCCCCACCGACCTGTCCCAGACCCGGTTTGTCAACACCACCATGGACATGAACGACTGCCTCGGCATCGACCCCAGCGCGACCGGCAATTCGCTGAATTCGGCCAAGTTTTGGCCGCAGGAACTGTAGGGCCCCGGCCATCCGCATCACGTTTGGTTCGAGCTCTTGATATCGGATTGCTAACGTGTCTTGTTTCTTCCAACAACAAAAAAAAACAGCGGCGACGCCTTCGAGAACTGCAGGTTATGCAGCATGTGGTCGACAACCATATTGGGGTCGCCGATGACCGAGCTCAACTGCAACTGCCGGCACAACGCCACCGCCGCCTGGCCCGACTGGTCCACCACGGCCGAAATTGGCGGTAAGCGCATGATTGCTTGTTTTGTTATTTTCCGTCGCTTCCTACGCCCCGCCGTGATTGGGAGCGCGTTTCTTTGCTGACCTCGATCCGTTTTCTTTTTTCTTTCCCCCGACTAGAACATATATCCTTCAACCCCACCACCTTCTACCCGACCTGCGCCATCAACCCGATGAGGAAGGGCCACCGCATGACCCACGGCTTCTCCGCGCGGGGGCAAATCCTTTCGTGGCTGCATCTGCCCTCATAGGTTATCGAACCCTTCTTATTAACACTGCACCGATAGCAGGTGGTAAGTTATCCTCCACCGTGAAGCCGTACGACCTTAGGAACGACCAGGAAATCAGCCTCCCTCCGCTTGTTCCGGCCAGCGGGAAAACGCGTATATAGTGTCTCGGTGTGCGTCACCGAAGAAGTGGGAATGGAAAGACAGAAGCAAGGACTGGCGGGGCGCAATGCAGTTCGATTCGACGTACAAGGAAGATTACCACATATGGGGGCAACCACCGAATTTTCTAGCGTATCCATTCTGCTCTTCCCTGGTGAAATTAGCCAGGGCTTGACTGGCACACGGAGGCCTTTGGGAAACGGGGAGTCCTTGTACGGCTTGCTACCAGGACATGCAAACTGCCCTGACCACACCAACCACCCACAGGCTCCTAACCTCAGGGGCTGGCAGCAACACGAGAAAAAGTGACCGGAAAAGGGACACAGATGTGCAAAATGGCCCATAGCCAGCGACGCTGCAAGGGAGGGCGGCGTCGTGGGTGAGCATCCCTAGCTGTACGAGTTTGGGTGATAACAACGAGGAATGCACAAGTAGACGTGTGGGTAGATACATGAATATACAGGACCAACACTCTAATTGTAATACCTTGACCCAGATTATGATGAGCAAAGTTCCCAAGTCGACCTTTGGACCGATCATGGCACACCAGCCAAAGTGTTTCTCGCCACCCACGCGCGAAAACGAGACACATCGGCTGGGCGATGGCCAGGCCTAGAGATATCGGTAGCCCCACTATCTTGTCTCCACTCGCATGCACTTTTCTGCCTGTGTTGCGCGGTACGTAGGTAGTTGAGGCAGCGGGGGTGACGGTTACGCTCATGGCTCCTGGCTAGCACGTAACATGGTCCGTCCAGCAGCACACCGATCTCTCAATTTCAAGCACAACAAGGAGATGCGTTGGTGGGTGCCACTTCGCCCACCGCCCTCGCAGTGCATCCTGGACCTCGGTAACGCTAGCTTCAAATTGCGCTACGAGCATGCCAATGCCCTGGTTAGTGATGAAGGAATTGCCGTTGGAAACTTTCTGGAATTGCAATTGGAACCCTAGTTATGTACATGAAAAAGCACCACTCATTGGCCTCATGTCGTCACCCTCGGTTAGCCAACGGCCTGACGCACCAACTGTCTCCACAAGCAGGCAATCGATACCGCAGAGTAGCCTCGACGCCCGGCATTTCTCATGTCGCGGGGCGCCCGGAAGTTTGAAGGCCAGGGCTAACGGACTCCTGTCCCGAGGAACGGGTCCGCGAGATGAGCCCGGGCGACCAACTGCCATTGCCTCCACCGCACTCTGGCCTATGCGAGGCCGCCATCCCGCCGACCCTCCCGCCGACCCTGCCGCCGTCCCCGCCCCACAAAGCTGAGAGCCGCCACTCCTCCACCCGCGGTCAGTCTGGCAGCGCTGCTCGTGACGCTAACCGACTCGAGACCAACAGACGGGGGCGAATGGGCTACCGACGCGGACTTGCCGTTGGCCTTGGAGCAAAGTCCCCGAAACGGCTGCCGTCTATGGGGGACACCGCGATCAGCAACGCCACCCCGCCAGCATCGGCACGCCGCGTCTCGTATCTGCCCAAGACCCCGGGATGCCAAAAGACGTGGCAGGTTTGCCGCCAGTGGGGCGACAGCGCGACGGGCCCCGCTCGCGGATGGTCCCCTCGGGACGCTGGGAATAGCCATGCAGTCTCGCCGTGTGGGTGGTGGAACGATATTTCGGACACCCCGGGCTGGCTCCTGATGCCCTGGTCCTCCTAGAGCTGGGTCGCGCGCCCGGCCATCTCGCCTGTTCTTTTCGCGCACTGCCCGCAACCGGAGCGAGCTAGGACCCGGAACTGCGCTGCTCTGTGTCAGGTGCTATATGTTTTAGATGCGTCCGCCACCAGCATGAACTTCATACCCGAAGCTGCTCCCAGTCCTTCCTCCGTCTCCAGAAGCGCCTCTGCTTAGCAGATGGGGCGACACAACGCAAACTCGACTTCCGGCTCACCCCGAGCTTTCAACCTTGGGGGTTTCTGCTCATATGTTCCTCCAGTAGGCGCACAACATCATGGTGACCCCGTTCGGCCGCCAGATGTAACGCCGTTTGGCCAGTATTAGCTTTTATATCGACGGCAGCTTTGCCCGAAACGAGTAGCAATTTCACGACAGTATGGTGGCCCCCTACAGCCGCCCACGATAACGCTGTCCGGTCCCACCTATCTTGCATATCGACGGCGGCTTTGCTCGAATCGAGCAGTAATTCCACGATAGTGCAGTGGCCGTTTTGAGCCGCCCAATGTAACGCCGTACGACCCGCTTTATCTTTACGATTCACGGAAACAATGCCAGAATCGAGTAGCAGTTGCACAACGATCTGGTGGCCGTTTATAGCTGCCCATATTAGCAGCGGGGTGCCAGTTTGATCGAGAGAATCGACGCGAACCTTGGCCGAGTTCAGAAGCATTTGTATGAAGCGTACGTGCCCTTGCGCAGCGGCATTTGCCGCCAATGTTCTGCCTGCCTCATCTTTCGCGCTGAGATCAGGCTGCCCCGTGTCGAGCAGAGACTGGACTATGCTGTCGTAGCCCAGTACCGTTGCACAAAATAGCAACGCTGTATCGATGTCTGGTGGGCTCAGAAGCAAGTAGGCCAATAATATTGCCGCACCAGTGCTGTTCATATCGGACCCATCCATGACCGGGACCATGTAGGATAGGAGGGTTTTTCGTGATGAAAAGACCATGTCGCGTGGGAAACGGCGGTGAAGGCCTCTGTTGCGGAGATACAGTGCCGCCAGGTCCTTAAAATGGTGTTCCGCAAGGGTTTGGAGTGGCGGAGGTAGGTGCTGGTATGTCTTCTGAATACCTTGCAGCATTGTCGCGACTGCATCGTGGCTCTCGGTGGCCAGGGCGGCGAAAATCGGCGGGCCGTAACGCTCTTTCCCTGCGGAAAAGAACGTTTTAGGGTCGGAGCAGAGGAGAGGAATAAGGTGACTCATGTTCCTTTCTGCGAGAATGTACAGGAGGTCGACTGATTTGGAGTATCGGCGAACGGCAAACTGTTCGAGAGCGCTGCTGAACATGGCCCACTGGGAGAGTGGAAAGGTTTGCAGAAATCTCCCCTGCTCTACGTCGTGCTGCTGAGCGCTGTTGGCATGGGCGAGAGCGCCAAAAACCGCATATTCGAGGAACGGAAAGTTGTGCCGCAGGGCCGCCCTTGTCCTTGCTGCTTCGGTCTTCTCCAGTGGCTCGTCGGGGATATCGACGGTCAGGCCGACGGGGGCGTTCAGCTGGGCCCAACAGCAATCCCTAAAAACATCGTGGCTGTGTCCCTCAAAGTTGACGGAAGCCCCGGACCACTGCTGCCCGTATCGGCCCAACAAGAAGTCCCGGACAGATTCGTGGATGAACTGGACTTGAGCAGCCTTGTTGCGCGTGACTTCGGCCAACCCTTTGGAGGAGGAGCTGACGAATGCCTTGAGTTGGTCATCAACGATCTCCTCACGGTCCCAGAGACCCGAGGTGTCCTTGTCGAGGCCAAACTGGACGGCGAAGTACAGCTCTTGTGGTTTGAGGGGACGGGTAGCGAAAAGAACCCATTTAAGACACAGGTCGAGCTGGTCTAGGTCGTTGCCATCCCGCGCAAGAATCATTTCGAACAGGTCGTGAAGGCCAGGCGGTATTTCCTTAAGCCGCCTGCTGAGCTTATCGATCGAGGCATTGATGGAGGCGGTGCTGTTAATAGGCTCTTGGTTGAGGATCTCAATGACCAAGACGACCCAAAGGAAGATGCCCGACGATTTGTCCCGAATCTCGTCTCGAAGCGGCGCAGCCTTGGCAGTCTTGCCTAGACTGCCCAGCCTCAATCTGGCCTTGATGAACTGTTCGATATCATCAGTATGCCCCGATTCAGCCTCCAAGATGAGCTCGACGCCCCTTTGAATGACGATTGCGGGATAGTGCCGACTGGAGAAGCAAATGCGCAGGCTGATCCCTGATCCCATTGCGTGCTCGCACAGCTCTTCGAAAAACGAAACCATCTTGGCAACTTGAGTCTGATCGCACTCGTCCAACGCATCGACGAGTATGGTGACAGCGCGATGCCCCAACCTGGAGACCGTGTGTTTTAGTGTCTGCTTCAGCGTTTCTTCGTCCCATCCTTTTTCCTGTACTCCTCGTGCTCCGGGCGCCGTCATCCACTCCAAACCGTCGGTCAAGTCCTCCATCGGCGGCTGAAAAAGCTGATAAAGAAGCGAGCGGTAGAGGTAGACCGTTGTCGTCTCTTCGATTGAACCGCGTGCTCGGAAGAAGAATGACAGAGTGATGCGCATAGGATTTCCTTTAGATTCCTCCCTCGCCTGCTCGAAAAGGAACTTTATGAGGGTCGATTTGCCCGTGCCGGGATTGCCCTTGATCCAGAGGAAAGTGCTGTCCTCTGACTGGTTTCCCAGGTCGCGCCAGGCTCGGTATTCCGGTTTGGAGAGAAACCAGCGACACGTCTTCCCCTGGGCTGCGGTCAAGCCTGTTAGACGTTGGTCAATCTCGGAGAAGAATAGTAGGTTGACGAGGCCGGACTTCGTAGCGGCATCGATGCGACCCATGGGTTGTGCGTCGCCTGGGCTCCTGTGGGTCCGCACAGGCGCCTCTCTCGAGGTCTTTCTTTCCACCTCCCTGCCATGGATATCTTCCATCTCTTCGTCGGCGTTGGTTGCAAACGGAAGCTCGGCAGGGCCACCGTCGTGACCGAGATCACTGCCAACCACAATCTCCGTGGAACTCGCCGGGATCGTGGAGTGCGAGTAGATAGTTGGCGGCGTTGGGGCCATTGGTAATCCGGACTGCGGGGCCTGATGGGGTGTCTCGTGGCGGGTGTCAAGTGTTGTGGCGGTGCCAATGATGAATGTCAAGGCGGCGGAAACCATGTTGTATCGGGCATCCTCGAGTCCCGAAAAGCGGCACATGTCCATGTGGTTGCTCGAGATGTGACGTTTAGTCTCGATCCTAACGTCATTGAGACATGACGAGTCATCATCCACCACCTTGGCTCCACCGAGTAGGGTGACGCCGTACTCTTCCTGGAACGAGTACACTGGCCACTGCTTATTGACGCAAAGAATAGCAAACTCGTCACTAAGGTCCTTAAGATGAGGGTTATGAGGCATAAGGGTGTTCACGATGTTGTCGTTGGTTTTAACCCCGACAGCTTGGATCGACACTGTCAAGACATGGTGAAGGAAGCGCCTTGGATTTGCACCTCGGTGTGGGGTACCGAAGAATATAAGGCCCAGGGTGGCTTCGAAGATGGCGTGGATATGGGGCTTGATCATAGCGGCTCGTCTCGATCTGCGCAGAGCCTCCTTAACGACAATTCCCCCAAGGCTGTGGGCGACGAAGAGGATTGGACGACATCCCTCGCCTGCGCCACGCCGGGCTTCCTCGAGAGAGCAAAGCAGATCCCAGCCATGGTCGTAGACTGTTTTGCTGCTGATTGGGCCCTTGGCCCAGTGTCGAATGTTGGTATCGTAACCGTATGTGAAGATTCGAGAGTCGGGGACGGTTGTGGGGACAAGGTCTTTTGGCCAGTAAACTTCTTCGGGTATGTTTTGTCGCTCGGTGCCGGCGTTGGTTGCTGCCGCGCGGGTCGTCTCCGAGGAGCTGGGGTCCGGAGTCGAGGATGACGTAGCGGTTGGTGATGGACTTCGGTCCTTCTTGCGAAATGTCACTTTGAGGAACTTTCGGACTCCGCCCGAAGAGGATCCCTCCCCTGGGTCGTGCTTCCTCTTTTGGTGGGATGGCCCATGCTTCGCCCTTTGCCAGGTCCAGGTGTTCTTCGGGTGGCCCGTGAATCCATGGACGAACACGATACTTGGAGGAAGGGAGGAATTAGTTGGATGGCATTTTGACAGTAGAAGGCAGCCAATGGATACGTACTCAACCTTGGGATGATCCGCCTGGTGCAACACGGTCAGGCCCTGCTCGCGGAGATTAATCTGGGCCGCCATGGAATGGAGCCCCGATGGATGTCGGATCTATGGCTGGCTCTGGAAAGGCCAGCCATCAATCTGCCACTCTCGTGGGTGTTTTTGAGGGGCCGGGATACCGTTGTCGGGAGAGGTTCTGGCAATGGGACAACTGGGAGCGAGTCCGAGCTCGAGCTTTGCGACGATGAGCCCAATCAAAACCATGTGCGCTTGGGTCGAGATCACCCGCCACCAGCGAGCGTGGAATGGCACTTATTGGCCTCTTAAAACGAGGCGTTCGGCGCTTATGCAAGTATTGACCTACCATGGCCATTTCCATCCGTCCTGCAACTTGTCGTAGCCTCCCCCTAGTTGGGCTTCTAGGCACCTAGGCAGACCGGACCGCCTCGAGAGACCTCCGACTTCCGTGGATATTTAGGTACCTAGGCGACCTCGGTACCCTCCCTCCCACCGACCGATATGCCGTAGAGAAAATCCGGTCAGGCTGGGGCTGAAGTGCGCCAAGAACATGTATTTTTGCCCGATGAGCTGCTGTTCCTAGCACATAAGCCACATCAACCAGCCCCGAATCCGACAGCGGTCTGAGCCAGAGTTTGTACCAGCTGGGCGCAGGGCCTACCAAAAGCCCGCATTTTCGTTGTGAATTGGCAGCCCTTCAGCAGCAATCGCCATGTTGTGTTCCTGGACCAGGAGCGGATGGTCCCGATCTATCAAGTCGCCTAGACGACATCATATCATTAGCGCAAATCGACCGCCTTGCGGACATGACGACGGCTGGGCCATATGGTTGAACTGCAGGCCGTGCTGAATTCAGGCGCAGCCAGACGCCCTGGAACCATTGGTGACAGAATACTGGACTACAAACCTGCTTGGCATGACTTCCCGTCGACGACACCCGCCCAACAAAGCAATGAGCACACAAGACACTCGGACGCATGCAAGTTGGGTTGAGCAGGCCCAGTTGGATTAGGAGACACTACTTGCTAAAGCGATAAAGCCCTATAATTAAGATATCCCAAGGAAGCATCGGAATGCCCTCGTCCTGTACGTTCTCTCGGGGAAAAACAAAACGGTTCGCGGCCTCCTCCCTTAGTTGAGGGCCAGCGAAACGTTGATCGAATCCTTCCGGCAGATCTGGGCGTCGCCCTCGATGCCGCAGTTGCCCGGGATGAAGGCGTTGCCCCAGAGGCCGAAGGCCGGGGCGGTCTGGTGGAAGACGCGGAGGCTGGTGTTGCCGGTCTTGGTGTCGAGGTACTGGAAGTGGTAGCCGTCGAACGACTGGAAGCCGGCGCACTGGTTGACGTCGGCCGGGGTGATGCCGTTGGGGTTGTGGGCCTCGCAGACGTAGGCCTTGACGCCGGCCTCGCGGTGCGAGACGAGCTGGAAGCTGATGGAGACCACGGGGCTGCCCGTGGTCGCGCCCTTGCTGGTGGAGACGAACTTTTGGATCACGACGGTCTCGGTCGCGCCGGCGTCGGCCTGGGGAGCCGGGGCGGCCAGGGCGGCGCCGAAGAGGGCGGCGGAGACGGCGGCGACGGAGAAGCGCATCTTGAAGGTTTTGAGTGGGGGGAGAAAGGATTAGGCGGGAGCGGGAGCGTCTGATACGGGTATAAGCGAGAGTAGTGTCTCCAAAAAGCGAATGTTATGTTGGGCAACCTGAGCGAGGGCTGAAGAGCAGGACCAGAACGGGAGAAGCGAGCGCCAGGCCGTTGAGATTTATATATACCACGGCGTTGTCGATGTCGCATCGTGCAGGTATTGAACCCCTTTCATGTCCCTGGACAAGGTCGCCGTCAGTGTGATCGGTTGACGAGCCGAAGCGATGCGCGCCAATCTCTCCAACATGGAATCATGGTTTGCGTGCCCCGGGGCTCCTGGGCCAATGCGGCAGCCAGGGCGGGACCCTTCCAACGGTTGCGGGTACCGGTGTCATTGCCGGTTGTCTCAGCACGCCCCACAAAGCCTCTGCAACACGAGAAAACGCAAGAGCAGAGCACGCACTATTAACTATCCCGCACTCCTCTTTTCAGCGTCCTCCGCTCGCGTGAGGCATGGCGGTGTGCTAGGACCGCTATGGAAATTGACATTTATGCCTGGCCCCTATTAACTAACCACGTTATAGAGTTTAAACAGTCCTCGACACGATGCGACCGAGGCATCGGTGAATCCGCAGAAGGCCCAAACCACTGACGCTCCGTCGCGTCGATGTATTAAGCCAGAGCAAAGCACTTTTTGGCAGCGATTGTGCTCTAGAATAAAAGGAGGACAGAAACACCCCCCAAATTCTCTGGGTTGGAAGAAAAACGAGCGAGCAAATTAGCTCAGGTGGGTATATTAAGGAAGACGAAACATAGCATACCAATATTGACATCGAGATATCAACAGCGTTGTAACGGAGCACATCAAACTCCATCCGTGGGTCGTAATTGACCACCTCGGTGATGGGCCAGTTCTGGGGGAATGGGGGGTTTGTTTCCCCATCGTGCCCGGCAACGGGCCGCTCGATGGTTTGCCATTCCGCCGGAGGCGCCAGCCACAGGTCGGCGTCGGTCGTTCCCCGAGTTTACTGTTGAACATGGCCCGTGACTGTTGCCAGTATGGGAGTACAGATTGGCGCACCGAGGACGCGGCAGTCGACCGAGCACTCCAGCGCTGTCTTGCAATCCGTAAACGAAACAATCGCCGGCCGCGCGGTACGTCGACGACTCTCCAGCTACTCGCAATATCAGAGGCTTGGAGCAGTCGACAAGCATGGGACGGCGTCTCGTTGTGTGCAGAATCATGAGGTCAGTGTCTTCCGAGACACATAGGCAGCTCTTTAGTGGAAGACGGCAAAAGACAATACACGACCACCGCCGTCGCCTCTGGGGCGATCTGTGGCCCTCTAGAGCCCGAGTGAGAAGCAGTCCTTGCCAAGTGAGATGGCTTCGGGGACGTGATGCGCAATAGGAGGGCCCATCCTAGCACGGGCTCCAGACCTTCTTGACGTTCGCTCCGATATCAGTAAGGAAGGGCCGGATCTCGTTTCTGTGTGACCGATTTGGATATGCTTTGGGCACATGTGGTCCGAACAGACTCATCTGGTGGTTCATACACCCCTCCGCCGCTCCTCACCCTTCATCTTCCGGCAAGTCGCACCCGCCTGTCCACTCTAGGGTTCATGGGAATATGTGTGGTCACGCCCCTGATCACCCCACACCGTACGCCGATATCTCGAAACTACTAGCTTACAACGTTCTGATCGTAGAGATAGGCGCGAGAGGTGTCAACTGCAAATTGGAGCTGCATGTGGTACGCGGCGAAGGGAGTTATGTCGCCCAACGCCAGGACCGACAAGGCATCGTTGTCACAGTTGGAGGAGACCCTGCGCAAGCCCTTCCAGAGCACCATGCCCGCCATCCGCTCGATGCGAGAGTCGCTGAGTTGCGCCTTCATTTCGACGGGGATGCTGGGTTTGTAGGATAGGCAAAAGACCGTCCTCACACGCAGCCGCCACGGCACCGCATCAAAGCCGAACTGCGCCCACGACCCTGGCCTTCGTGCTTGCCAGCCGAGTCTCTTGGGCCACCCAGCGCTTGTCGCACCAGTCACGCACAGATATGGGGCACTATGGCGTCGTAGGTGATTCGGCCGCATGGCAGCCGTCAGCTCGGGTCCTGTCAACCCTCCTCTTGGGCGGCGGAGGAGTGCAGGCCCGCCCAAAGCCGCGTGATGAACTTGAGCGGTCTCGCGAGGCGCCCCGGCGTGGAAGTGGCGAGCATGCTGCCGCCAGACGCCGGGCCGAGCCGGGCGACGGCCCGGTCGGCCACGGCGTACGCCCTGGTGCGCGTGCCGCACCCTGGTGACCCTTTTCGTGTTCGTTCGGCTGGTTGATGCAGATGGCCTCAACCCAGGGCACAGGGACTGGGTACGGCGCTGGAGAAAAACGGACCGATGGAGGGATCGGGGTGTCGACGGGTAACATGGCCTGCATTCCAGTCTTTGAGGACACGCCTCCCCTTTAGGTCCCACAAGGCCGCCGATCCGGGTGGCAGGACTGACTGGGCTTCGGTAATCCCGGTCCTCGCGTTCCTCGGTTTGTGCTGTTGGATGGGCCCCGCGTGGATGAACCTGATTTCCTGCCCAGAGTACTTTAACATGGCTGTGTCGCCCTCCTCTGCAGATCTATAATCTCCTCCGCAATGCCCAACTTGAGGTTTCCTGCCGAAGCTACGTGTGACGAAGCTGGGGACCATGCCAGCCCCAACACGCCAAGCAGGTTGTGCTGGACGTAGCAAAGACGTGTGGGCTCGCGGGGGACGTATTCTGGAAGGGCAAGTGACAGTTACGACCATATTACGAATGTCTCTTGATGAGGGCGGGATGCTGAAGAGCAAGTTTAGTGATGAAATGGTTGAAACATACCTGACGTTCGAGTGGACGTCTATTCGTGCGGTGGAACTGTGAAGCGGCGTTCTAACAAGTTGGATTGCTCAGACTCGTACACAATACCTAGAATGGCGCCACGCGCTTTGTGTAGGAATTGCTCCAGAACGCAGTGGAAAAATCCTTCCAAAGCGTTCGAGTGCGCGGGTACCTACCAGAAATTTCCCTGCATGTACGCCTGGGTGGCATCGCCGTGGAGCACACCGACGATAGGTTTGCCGGGAGCGATTTTCCGCCATATGCGCCGTCGACCAGAGCGCCAAGTTGGCATCCCATGGATACGTTAGGACCCAAAGATCGACTTCAAATCTTTTTTTGCCTGTAAGGTACGCATAAGATCCGCACAGTTCGTCTTTTTTCCAAGCACTAGAAGGGTAATTTGGGCCTGGGATCGATATTTCCTGTCTGAGTCGATGATATCGCGGCGCCCAGCAAGCTACCGGGCCTGCCGCCGGTGACCCGCATGGTGTTTCATCTCCACGATGTGAAGGAACCCCGAAGAACTTGCGCGCCTAGCTGCGCATCCCCGGACTAGCGCCGCAGAGCTGCGGCGGCCGCGTTGGCGACAGGGCGCTGGCGTCGGTTGACGCCCACATGATCTGCCACCAGGGCTTGTGAGCCGTCCGAATGTCGGCGGTGTCGGGGATTGCTGCTGCTGGTGGTGGCGGCGGAGGAGGACGCACAGGCCGGGACATGCCAGCAGGCGAGAGAAACCTTTCTTCCGACCGAACGGGAGATGGCACCGGCCTAGTTGGCTTTGATGCGTTCCAACATGCTTGCGTGCCCTTGCCCATTTGTTCAAAGATTCCATATATGTGCTTTACGTGGCAGTCATGCTGGACGTTGCCGAAGACAGGCCGGCAGTTCACAACTCGATCGCTCCAGCCCTCAAGTGTCTGCCAAAACTTTAAGCCCGAGTCGCGGCGCAGACGCGGTTGTACCCTCGTTTTATACCCCGTCCATCTCACATCCCGCCGCCAGGCGGGATAACGCCTCGCCAAGTATGGACGCAGACGTGCATGAGCCCCAGTCACGACCCATGTGAAATCCCACCCTGCTCCGAGGGGTGGGCTGGTGGGGTCGTGTCGGGTCCACGGCGCCTGTCACGAGTTATGTCATCCCACTCTCCTCCGAGTTGTGGGACGAAGGGCGGCTAGATCCGGACTAGGTTTCTGCAGTTCACGGAGGAGCCTGCGAAGTGCGGAGCACTGATGTACGGGGCAGCCCTAACCACATGAACTATAAAGATTCCTCTCAGCTGCCCCGTCTGCAACTCTGAATTTCTTCGTCCTCCCAGCCTGTCGAAAACCACCCATCTTGGCACCTGTTCTTCCACTACACGCCACAACCATGTCCAAGTGAGTTCCCTACCACGCCCAAACATCAAATCCACTACGGCCTCACTTGCTAACATTGTACTAGCTCCGATTCCGTCGCCAGCAACCGCGAGGTTCATTCTCCCTCTCCACGGCCCGAAGTCTGGAATTTACAATACTGACTACGTCCCAGCACTTGTGCGCTCGCATGGACCGGTTCCTCGAGTTTATCAACTCGGGCGACGAGACCATCGGCAAGGAGGTCGTTTCCGAGTCGGCCGAGTTCCACGTCCCTTTTGGCGGCCCCCCGCTCAAGGGCCTCGGCGGCTACATGCAGATCCTCGGCATGATGCGCGGCGCCTACCCGGACATCCAGTGGTCCCTGCAGGAGACCATCGTCGAGGGCGACAAGATCGTTGCGCGGTTCGCCATCTCGGGCACGCACCAGGGCAACTTCCTCGGCACCCCGGCGACGGGCAAGCAGATCAACGCGCAGGCCTTCAACATCTACAGGTTTGCCAACGGCAAGATTGTCGAGGAGCGCGGGCTTCCAGATATCTTTGACATGCTTGCTCAGATTGGGGCTATTGCGATCCCCGGGCCGCCACCCGCATAAGTTTATTTGCTTTTGGACAAGGCATTTGTCAGATGTGACGATGACCCGACACTTACTGTATGTTCGCCAGTGATATAGAGTCCTCCTCGGACGCTTTTGCAATTTACGTGATCGACAAAGCCCAGTCACTAAAGCACTTTGGCGTGCGAAAGTCTTTCACTTGTAGTTACGGCCTGGGCTGCAGTCCGCAATATAGCCCCTGCAAGGACAAGATGTGAGGTCCGAAGAGTCGTCGTTCAGACGGCTTCGAGGTGGTAACGGACATGGCCTCGCCGTTCGCGCTCGAGCTGGTCCGCGCCTCCCCGGACGCCAAGGTGGTGCCGATGCAGCACGTCCCGGACAGGTGGTGGGCCAGCTCCGACGCGGCGCTGCTCGAGCCGACCTTTGCGGAGCCCGCGGCAACATTGCTGCACCTCCTGGCGGCGCACGTCCTGGGCCGGCCCGTTATGCGGTGCTTGCAGAAGCTGCACTCTGGCTTCTACGCCGAGCCGAGCCGCCGGCCGACCGAGGCCAGGGCCCGCGCCGTCGCGCTGCGGTATTTTAACGACGTGCGCCGCCTGGCGCCGCCGGGCCGGCTGCTCGAGTACGAGCTGGGCAGCGGGCGGGAGCCGCTCTGTCGGTTTCTCGGCAGGGACGCCCCCGACAAGCCGTTCCCATTTGCCAACGAGGGCGTCGCTTAACGAGGTGACGGCTTAGCGGATAGCTGGGGTTGGTAGGGAGACTTTGAAGGTTGCTTTGCGTTGGATCGTTGGACTTACTGCCGCAGGATTGGCTTGGCTGTTTGCTGGGCGTAGTAGTCGCATTCGGGGCGGTGTTGCTTCGTGGCTTAAGTTGAATGCTATGTAGGCAAAGTGGCGTTCAAAGGAAAAGCAGCAAGTTTACGTGGTCAAATAGGAATGGAACATCCAAAAGGTGTACATTTGAAAAAGATTTTATCTCTACTTTCCACAACGCCGCATCCCCGAGGTTCGCGCTCTGTATCGGAGCACAAGCCCCAAAAGCAACCTTTTAAAGCCAGCTTCCGTCGCGAAACATGATATTCCTGGCCACTGTCTGATCCTTGGTCTTGACACGCTCGTTATTTTGTCGACCATGTTGAGGCAGCGAGATTTACTCAAGGTCCGCTTCCTCCTCAGCCTCCTTGGCCTGCTCGGCGACCTCGTCCCGCTTGCCGTACATCGATCCGTCGCCGCCGGTGGGGAGATCCAATGGGTTGATCCCGCCCTTGCCAGGGAGCCAGAGGGTGCCGGCCATAACCTTCTTCGGCGGCGTGGACACGTATTTGCATGCACCTTTCGAAGTGACCTTCCCATCGGCACCGAATTGGCAGGCTGCTTGGCGACGCGAAAGAGGGGCCGCCATGGCCTGGTCGGGGAGGACAGGAAGGGCAAAAGCCGGGAGGGCGACGGCCAGAGTGGCGGCGACCTGGGCGATGGTGATGAAATGCATTGTGGTAAATGAGAGAGCCAAAAGGCGAAAATTGACAAAAAGAAAACACAAAAGGAAACCACAAAAAGGAAATAAAAGTAAACAAGAGGAAAAGATGCTGATCTGGATGCGGATAAGGACAAGAGAGAGATCTCGGTGGCTAGAAGCGGCCGAATCGTCGCTCTTTTATGAAAAAACGGGCAGCACGCAGACCCCGCACCCCTTAATGCTTGCCAGAATCAAAGCGCGTCGAGTGTTGACTATTTTTGGCCTATGGACCCGCCGAGGCCCCCCTGATGCCCTAGAGAGTTGACAGGAACAACGCTTCACCTTGGAAACATCCTTTGCCAAATCCTCGCGCGTAATACCAAAATAACCTTAAATTTACCGTCACTGGCTATTTTAAGGGCTCGTGGCTTCACATTTACAGCGTGCGGGTGCCAAGTATACTTACTAGTTCAGTTACAAAGTTTCGTAGCGAAATCAAAACGTGGAATATCCACTGGATACCCTTAGTTTCCTTTATAAAAACCCTTATGCCCTGTATACCCTGGCTATGCCTACACCCGGAGGATAAAAGTACCGCTCGTTTTTCCAAAAAAAAAAATTGTTAAACCCAACGGGACCGACCCGCGGGTTGAGCAGGCCCCGCACCGGTGCCATCCCCGTCAGAACCGATCAGGTCCAACCCGGAGCTTACCCCGCCCGGGAAGGATGGACCGAGGCCCGAAGCAAAGAGCTTACCACACCTTTGCTAGGGACCGAGTGCAGGGCAAGTGCGCAACGGTTTGGGCCCCGAACATGCACGCTTACTCCGCTGCATGGCCGGTGTTCGATAAAGGCTGGAGTGCGCTTTAAATGCACTTAACCCAAGTGCTTCGGGGCTGGACGATGATCAGACCCCGAGCGCACTCAGCGCGCACCCAAAACGCACTCCGAGCGCACTTAGTGCAAAGGACGGAGTGCGCCTGGATTAGCTACGCGGCAAAGCCGGAAGCCCGGGAGCAAGGCCAATGTATTATTTGATTTGATTTATACGCTGTTCTGTCTATGGAAGAGACCTCAGTGCTACAACTTGGTAATGCGTGGGGAAAAACCCTTGGGTTGGGCCTAGGGGGGAAACCCTGCGCCTGCGAGCCGCCTCTCTGGCGTTGCGCCTCCGTGGCGGTGTTGAACCGGTGGCTGCGCCTACTTTTCTCCTCCGCTCGACTGCTTGTAAAAGCTCCATTCGGGAATCAACCGTCCCTCCCAAATGCAGCCCCCTTTGCAGGGGGCCGGCAAGGCCGCGTCCTGCGCTTTAATGGTTGGTTGGTTGGCTCGATTTGATTTGCCGGGCTGGTCCCTTTGCCGTGGGGGCCTCGGGTCGGGTTAACTTCGGTTAAGGGGGTCCTTTGCCGCTTTCTTTGCCCAGGCTTGTCTAGGGCGCCTGGGGGGCCCTCTTACGCACTTAACCTGGTCCTTTTTAGCCTCTGGCCCTTTTCCTTTCCGTTACCTCCTTTGGCCTAGCCTGCTGCATTTGGGCTTGGGGCGGTAGCGATTGGGATTGGGGCTGGGGGTTATAAAAGGCTAGGGCTTGTGGCTAATATTTGAAAGAAAAAGGGATGGTAATCGAATTCGTCGGTTTGTGCGTGCGTTTGTCGGGGTAAGGTTAAGCCCTCCCAAGGGCCTTCCCGTTACCTCCTCTTTGGCTTAGCCTTCTGCATTTTTGGGCCTTCGAAGTGGTGCAAAAAGGGGTTGGGAAGGGTCGGGGTTGGGGGAATCGGGGGCCTTTCCAAGGGCCTTCCTATTACTTCCTCTTTGGCCTAACCTTCTGCATCTTGAGCTTCTGAAATGGTGCAAGGAAGGGTTGGAAAGGGTAGGTCGGAATCGGATTAATTGTCGGAATCGTTGGTCGAAAATTAACTCGGGCGAGGCCCGTAAGCGGGGCGGCCCCTTTCTCTTTCCGGCCCAGCAAAGCGGGCGGCTAAAAAACAAAAAGGCTTTTGTGGTTTCGACGGGATTCGAACCCGTGGTCCTGGCGGGACCAGCCTGGTGCAGAGCTACTGCACCACGAGGCCAAGGCTAGTGTATTATAAATTTCTTATATAAATTTGCTGCCCTTCTTATTAACTGGTTAATAAGAGGGGCATTAAGATATACGTGTTTTACCCGATACGTACCTTGTTTACCAAGTTGTGTTTATTATACCAGTTAGGTTGTGCTTACTAAGCTAGCCTTCCTTATTACTTAAGCATAACAAAATTCTACGCTAAATTGTGCAAGGAATATTAGCGCTTTACAATATATATATATTTATTTACCCTTTTCGAGCTATATAGCTCATGGGGAGCTTTGCGGTTTGGGTTAATTACATAAAGGTAATAACCGTGCTTCCAGCCGATAATTGTTTGGTATAAAGCTGGGTAAAAACTTTTTCCTTTCGAAATTTTTGCAATTCCGCGTTTTTTTCGTAAGTAATGTATTGGTAATATGGTTTATTCCCGCACTTTTTAACGGTTAGTAAAAAAAAAAGTTAATGCTTAAAGCGAGGTATTGTGGTCCGGTCGTAAAGGTAATTCGGCCGTTGCGTGTAAATTAGGTTGTTAAATGCACGTTTTCGTAAAAATTTTGGGCTTGCCCATTGTTTTTTCCTTTTTTATTTATGCCCCATTTTCGGTTCCATTTTATAGCTTTTATTGCTTTTTTTTCCCGGCTTTTTTTTAATCCGGTTAATAATTACTATTAGCAATAATAATAACAATAGCAACAATAACTGTAAAAATATTTTCCGCTCTTGCAAATTCGTAGCCTTTTTAACAATTTTTTAAATAATTTTTTTTTAACGCATTTCCAATTTTTCCCCAGTACTTTGCTTAACGCTTACGTGCTTTTTACGCGCCCGTTATAATTTTTTTTAAAAAAAATCCGGATTTAAAAAGGTTGTTTTGCTTTTTTTTTTAGCAATAGCGGGCGATTTATACCGTTGCAAAACCCGTTGCTTGTAAGTATTTTTTTCCGTATTTTCCGCGGTTTCGCGCTAACCTTTTTTAATATTTATTACGGCGCGGCAAATTGTACAATTTATTTTAAAATAATGGGTTGTAAAATTAATTTAAACCGAATTTGCATGCAAAATTTTAATAAAAAATTTTTACCGTTTTTTTAATTGTTTTAGTTTGGATATACCATTAATAAAATGCTTTGGTTTAAATTTTAAATTTAAAAAATGCGTATATTGCTGTGCAAAAAAAAAGGCTAGCAAAAATGGCTAATGTACTTTTGCTTTTGGTAAAACGGTATTTAAATTAGGCTAACGTATATTTAACGCCGCAAAAAAGCCTGCTTTTGTAAGCCGCGTTTTTAACGCCGAAAATAGCTTTACTAAGCTTTATTAATATAACGTTTAAAAATTTAATCGATAGCATTTGCATTATATATTTAAACAATATCCTTATTTTTTTTAAAAAATACGGGAAAAACACCGCAAAGCAATAAAAACGGTATTTAAACAATTCGAAAAGTACAAACTTTACGTTAGCCTAGCCAAATGCAAATTCGAAATAAACAATATTAATTTTTTAAGCTTTAAAATAACCAAGCGTAAAATTAAAAATTTACTAAACAAATCGTTACAATGCAAAAATTACCGCGCTTTTAACGAACCTTTTTAAAAAGGATATAGCGTTTTTACTAAAAAATAATGCGAAAAAAGCTTTTTGCAAGCTAAAATTACTATTTACAAAAGCCCCAGTACTGGTACATTTTAACCCGTTAAAACCGCTATGCATAAAAATTAACGTTTCGGCCTTTGCAATAAAAGCAATATTATTGCAATTGCAAAATGGCCGATAGCACTTAATAACTTACTTATTAAAAAAGCAGGGGCCCAAATGGTAACTCCAGTTACGCCGGAGCCATGTCGCTACAACCAGGCGGCGATCCGGCGGAAACCCTAGCCACACCTGCAACGCCACATCGTGGCGCCCCAGCAGCGACCCACAGGAAGTTTGGGTTTTTTCCCTCGTGAGGAAACCCGGCTAAAGGCCTCTTTCCTTTTCCTACTTTTTGTAACAAAATAAATTCCTTTTGGCTGCACCCAAGCGTAAGCTGTCGGCGCAAGCCCTTTACATTTTTTAATGTATAAAATTTAACATTTATTTACTTATTTAATTATTAAGTAACCGTTTCTTAAAACTTTTTAAAAATAACGTATATATTAAATTGTTTATTTAAATTTACAATACAATTTACCCCATTTTAATGCATGCATTGGAGGCAAAGTTATCTCGTTTTAAAGTGGTAGCGTTTAAAATGGGTAGCGAGCGGTATTTTTGTTAAGCGAAGCCTGCTCCTGCCGGTTAAGTAAAGCCCGCCGCTATCATCCAGCCAAAGGCCCACCCGGGGAAAAAGAACAATGTCCCCATTAAGGCTGCTGCTAGTTCTCGCTGACCTCGGCTCGTGGCTCTGGCGGAGAACTCGGGGGTTGAGGCGGAGCAAGCAGGCTCGCTGGCATTGCATTGTTGGCGTCCTCGTCGGGCTTACAGGTTAAACTGCGTTATTTCACGGGGTACTTGTAGCATAGCTTGGACAAATTGGCAGTTCCTGGATATAGGTGAAGATTTGGGGACAATTGAATGCTCGCTTCGAGCTCGTATCAACCTGCGGCATCCCGACCGTAATTTGCTTCCAGTGTTCCCCCGTGTCGGAAGGGGAAAAGAACCGCGTGCGGAAGCAGCAGAGGCAGAGGTGCTGCCGCCGAGGTTGATGGGCCAGCCCCGATCGTTTTGGCATGTGTTTATGCAGCAAGTGCCACGGGGATTCACGAAACTCTATCGGAAGCTGCGCCACCAAGGCCCACTTTTTGCATAAACCTATCAAAGGTTGGCGCAATAAATCCCACATCAAAACTTTGCCCTGCTTGGTTAGAGTGTGATTTCTCCAGTGCAATATATTAACTTTCGCTAGCAAATCCCACGTTGCAGCTCAAGTTTCCTTATACTAGCCCTCGTTTTATAACAGCACCTGTCGGACTCGACAAGTGCGGGGACAGGGTCTTTGACAAACATAGAGTTCGACCAGCCGGTCCGTGGCCTGAAACACCCCTTGATGCCCGCTGCATTGCAACCAGAGGCGCAGATCTGGTCGACAGGGCGATTACCAAAATAAAATCGAACGAGCGCTTGACGTCCGGGGGCACCACTCATGCAAATTTGCCAAATAGAGAAACTGCCCGACGCAGCCACGGCAATCACGGCAGGGAAAATCTCCGACGATACGACGACCCAAGTGTCCGAGGCCCCCTACCAGCGCCGAAGAGCCGCCCCCAGGTACCATCTGCGAGGGAAAGAAAGAGGAAAACCCCACCTCCCAACAGGGGGGTTAAAACTGGAGATCACAGGGGCGGCGGAAGGGGGGTCACGTGCTGGCATAAAGTCACTGCCATTGTTGAAGCCGGTGAAAGAAGGAGAGAAATCGAGAAAAGCTTTTAAAGGACGAGAAATTCTTGAAGTCTCGTGACATCCCCCCAAGTCACCACGACCCCTGCGATCTCCAGTTTCAACCCCCCTGTTGGGAGGTGGGGTTTTCCTCTTTCTTTCCCTCGCAGATGGTACCTACTTACCTATCCGCTTGCAAGACTCGCCGGTCTCCTCCCACCCGACCTGTGGACGTGTATCTTTGCCAGCCTGACCACCCCCATGGGTGATTATGGAAGGAGAAAAAAGGTTAGCTGGGCTGCTGCTACATGAGGCAACCCCTATTACGCAATGGAGTCCCTAAAGTTTCTAGTGCGTGCCGCCTTGGGCCAAAAAAGGACGGGCATGCACGCCGATTACGCGGCTTCTGGTCCGCCATCTGCCGATTAAGCATGGCGTTGCACTGCCGCTGCCACCCGTGCAGAGAAAGCCTGGCGGTATGATTCATACCACTGCTACTGTTGCGGTTCGTGGTGTTCGGCCATCGCGGTCGCCGCTCGGCAGAGGCCGGTGTTACCGACAAGGTCCAAGGAGAACAGTCGTCGCCAGCGCCCGTCTCGACAAGGCGAGTATATAACTGCCCGATTCTTTCTAGCAATTCGTTTTCGTTTTCCTCTTTCTCCTCACACCTCATCAGTGTTTTCTTTACTTTTACCTAGCTTATCATTTCCTATCGTTTCTTTTTTTTCCTATTGTTTTTCCCATTGTATCTTTTCTCGACCTCCCTCTTTTGCTTGCATCAAACTCGTTCCTATCGTTGCTTTGCTCGTTTTCAAAAGCCTGCCCAAGATGCACGCCAAGTTTCTTCTGCCTTTCCTCTTGGCTGGCGCCCTGGCCATGCCTAGCCCGGCCCCGAATGCTCTTGGGGATGCCGCCGTCTCGCACGTCCTTGAAGCCCGCAAGGACCCAGGCCTGCCACCTGCCCCGAGGCCCAGGCCGAGACCGGCGTCACCGCCTCCCCGACCCATTACCCTGGATGACGAAGGCGGTGGCCGTCGCCGCCCGCGTAACGTGGCCGACGGCGCAAACGTGCTCGAAGCCCGCAAGGACCCAGGCCTGCCACCTGCCCCGAGGCCCAGGCCGAGACCGGCGTCGCCGCCTCC